AAGTGCGCCGTCGGGTGTGAGTGCCACGCAGACGGGAAGAACGCCGTCTTAGACAGCCCGCCCACAATACGGCCGGGCGCGCATTTCCTCGCTGATTCTCGCGGCGACACCAACCCAAAACCCCATGGGCAACGAGAATGGAGAAGTGGTGCGGGGGAGCGAAAGGGGACAAGCGCTGAGCTTGGCCGTCGCTCTTTAGGACGGCTACGGGACCGCCAAGGGTGTCTTGATCCAATCATGCGAGTGGAAGAGATGTGCTGCCGGTGAAGCTATACTGATCAAAGTAAGCCGCTAGAAGCTTGTTGGAACGTGGCTGGAAAACTGCCCGTAGCAAGCCATCTCGGTGCGATCCCTGCTTGGCGCGCCGGTAGTTTGACCGAGTTGATCTCCTAGTCGTCTGTCGAGAATGCTTGGCTTCGCGATAGCGTCAGATGCGCGAGATATTGATCGATCGTTTGAGCGCGGCAGTCGTGCTGGGCAGCGGCCAAGACAGGACAGACGAGAGACCACGGCCGCGTCCTCTTTCTCTCGGATCGTGATTCTAGGTATGTTCCCCAGAGACTTGAGCGCCGTCGACAGTAGCCGCACTGGCGCGGCCCCTAGCATGATGCTTGTCCCGCCTCCCTGTTGACAGGTTTGGTTGAGCGTGCTCATCAGGAGCGCGCCTCCACAACTTCATCTCACCGACCCCATCGCACGGCTGGGGGAGCCCCATGGGCAGGACTTGGTCATGGTGGACAACCGACGCGAGGATGTTCAGATATCCCTCAAACCCTGGTCAGAGTCGGGCGTTCAAGCCAAGTGTTGTTGGTGCCACTCATTTCGTGCCATGCGTGAAGTGGCTTGATTAATCTAGCTACGAGCGCCGGGCGCGCCTGGCTACAAAGTGGTGTGGCCGATCCCTTACGTAAAGGCGGGATTCGGGCCGGGGTTCGGGTCTCGGGCCCGGGCCCGGCCGACTACCGTCTCGCATGCCAAGCTGATGAGCGTTGGATTACCAGAGGAGCCTGCTGGGGAGCCAAGACATTCGCCATTTGATAGACGCAAAACCCTATCAGACTGTCTAGGTTGATTATTTGATGCTCACATGACCGCCAGAGCTGAAGTCGCCGTCCGCGACCCTCAATGAAAAAGTCACGATCCACTGCAGAACCATCCGCAGCGACCCCGTATTCTGCTCCCCAGATTCAGTCTGGAGCCGTCTGGATCTCTTCTCCGCAACATTCAGCGTTTGGGGGCTCTCTTCCCCAGCCCGCCCCAGCTTCGTCGTTTAAAGTCGCCCCGCCAGAACGGGCCTGGCCATGGATGATGGAGGCGTCCAGACCAGCAGTCGCCGTTAGCGTTACAGAGGCGATCCACTTGATCGGGCCGTTACCAGGAGCCAAACCTCGCCAAGTTGGCGCTGGTTCAGTGTTTATTGGCCTGACTCGCGCTGGGATGCGGCCGCGTACGCGCCGCAGGCAGCTTCTGCTTGCTCACAGTGATCATGGTAATGGTGTTGTGAAGACTTCATGTTGGCAGATTGCTGTGCATCGTTGTTTGCCGTGTACGTCGGCTCAACACTTCTCGCCGTTCACAGCCGATGCAAGGGCCATCCCGTTCTCAGTACACAGAGTTGGGTTGAACTGGGCCGCCACGAATAGTGCGAGCTTCTCGCATCAGAGTTTTGGCCACGACGGCGGCTAGCTTGACCCGTTCTCCAAACAAGAGAGCGGCTTGCACCTGCTCAAATTGGCCTCCATCTTTCATGCCCGAGGCCACGTGAGCGCGTGCGGTGATTGTCCATGTCGGAGGTCGATGGTTGTCCCTTGCGCGTGACATGCCGGCGAGCCGTCCCCTGCATCGGAGAATGCAGCGTGCTACGTGAGCCGCAGAGCACACGTTGACGGCGCGCGAGGAGACGGCCCTTTCCTTGTTCTCTCGTCTGCGATGGTTCCAATAGTTTAATGATCCGAGGACTCGAGGACTCGGGACAAACCATGCGACGCACGTGTCTCAACTTGAGCAAGACGCCGCGCTAGCGAGGAACTCGCGAAAGCTAATTGAAGACATCGAGCAGTGTAAAACCGGCTTCGGTGGTGAGGCGACGTTGTTCTGGCGCTCCCCGCTGCTCTGAGTGTCATCCATCATCTGTGATGCTCACGATGGCGACACCGGTGTGGCTGGGCCGGATGCTGGCTTGGGCGTCCTTGATGGGACGTGTCATCAGAGCTGCCAAATCGGTCTGATTTGTAACTGCAGTTCTGAGCCTCACTGCCCGATTATAAGTTGCTCGTTGCCTACGCGTCGGCTCAATATGCATGTGACGAGATGGTCGAGAAGAATGTTGGATTGGGGGCCGACAGCGTACCTGAGCGACGCTTATGTGAGTCATCGGGGGCTGTCCCCTCCATCACTTGTCTCTGAGAAGAACTTCCTCTGATCGCTATTCAGCACATTCGGAACATCGCAGACTACAAGATTGTTCTCATCCCGAATTGCTGTCTGTGACGTCAACTTGGTCCTGCTGTGTACTTGAGGCAGTCAGTCAGTGAGCATGCTTCAGTTGCGACGTCAATAGTCAGCCAGTATTGCCCAGGGGCTTGCTGCGTGGCCCAAGCAGTGGTTCTCGTCGTCAGATTCGTGAAAGACAATCCATCGAATGATTGACCTCTATCGAACATCACCACCGAGAGGAAACATAAACACCTGTAACAGATGAGAATCTGAACATCAAATACGTCGGCAAAGTCAGTCTGACCGTCGGAAGAATTTGAGTCCGATCTATTGCTGTAGAAGAAGACGAAAAATCTGTTTTGAACATGCATGCTGCAGAGGGTCAGCAAATTCCGGTGTTAATCGGTGTTTACGGGAGGCTGCAAAGACGCGAAAGCATTCGGAAGCCTAGTGCGCTGAAAGAACGGCTTCGGGAGGCCTTTTGCCTGTCAGATTCCCGCTGAAGCGGGCGGCGCGGCCGCTGTGGCAGACATGGTGCTGACGCTCCTCTCTTCAGCCATGGGAATGAGAGCACAAGAGTGATGGGAATTCATCAGACATGTGAGTAAAAACACGTGAACTTGATCTGTGCCGGAGCCTGAGCCCGTTGATTGGAACAACAACCCGGAAGAGTCCTGCACAATGTATTGGCCCGGCTCCGGTGAGCAGCACCGCGTGAGAGCGGGCAAAGCCGGGGCTCTCAGTGGTGATACTGCTAACTCCGGCGCCGTTACGTCTACTGACGCCTGCGGCGGCTTACGGGTCGGCAGTGGGGACGAAATGCCCGCTCGTTGGTGAGCATTCTCCGCTGCGAGCGGACAATGCGGCCGCTCTTCGTTGCTGACGCCGGGTTTAAAAGACGTTCATTGACCCAGCTGTTTCGCGATTTCGGTCAATATTCGTGATTCAAGATCTCAAGAAACTCACACAGTAATACCGCCACCTCATCCTCCTCACAATGCATCTCATCCTCACCGGCGCAACTGGCCTGGTCGGCTCCTCCGTCCTGGACGCCATGATCAAGATGAAGGACGTCACCAAGATCTCCATCCTCAGCAGGAGGCCGATCCCGATGGCAGACGACGCCAAAGACCCCCGGATCAATGTCATCATTCACAGAGACTTTGACAAGTACGAGCCCGACGTGCTCGACAAGTTGAAGGGCGCGAACGGCGTCGTCTGGGCGCTGGGCATCAGCCAGAACAAGGTCACCAAGGAGTAAGCTGGCTCCTCCCCTGCATGTCAGAAAATCCTAGTTCTAAGACAGCATCCCTAGGGAATACGTCAAAATCACCAAGGACTACACACTAGCAGCGGCAAAGGCCTTCGCAACACTGCCGCCCAACAACGAGCCTTTTCGCTTCGTCTACGTCTCCGGCGAGGGTGCCACCCAGAAGCCCGGCATGTTCAGCGCCATCTTCGCCCGCGTCAAGGGCGAGACCGAGACCCTCCTCTCCGAGATGCGCGCCGCGAACCCCCGGCTGCAGGCCGAGGCCATCCGCCCGGCCTTCGTGGACGCCCAGAAGCACACGGCCATCAAGCAGTACATCCCGGACCCCGGCATGGTGTACAACGCCGCCAACGTGATGATTGGCCCGCTGACGAGGGCGCTGGTGCCGTCCTTTGTGAGCCCGACCGAGTACTTGGGCAAGTTCATGACGGAGATGGCGATGGGGAAGCATGATGCGAGTCTGGCGGCTGGAGGGCAGGGGATCATCACGCTGAACGGGGGGTTGAGGATTGTTGAGAACATCGGCTTCAGGAGGTTGGCGGGGCTGTCGCCTAAAGATACCCAGGGCGTCAAGGTGCCCGCTGCATAGACGCTCATCTGTGTTGTACGATTGTGTAAGGATAGATGGAATCATTTCAGCGAAATTTCAGCGGTTTACGATGCATGGTCTTCTTCGCCTTGAAAAGTCACAGGCTTTTGAGGTTCGTCATTTGAAGCTAGGCACCAGCATCCAGCGGGCAAAAGTGCGAGTGCTCAGCGCTAAGCTACATAATGATCAAAATTGGCCACCCTGCCAATCACGACGCATTCGGTCCCCTAGGGACTGCTCAGCCGACGTCGGCTCAATGGTCTAGTGGTATGATTCGCCCTTCGGGTCTCACAACCCTTGCGCATAGCGTGAAAATGGGCGAGGTCTCGGGTTCGATCCCCGATTGAGCCCCATCAGTCTCTTTTTGTCTCTGTATATCATATGCAAGAAAAATTCTTTTTACGCTGTTACTGCGAAAGATCATTCTCAGCTGCTTTAATATGATGCCTAGGCTGATAAGGAACGTCTCACTTTACTTAGATAAATAATTAGTTATTATATATAGATAAATTGCTCTAATGCACACCTCTTTCTAGATAAGAGCCTCTATAACCTCTCACTATGAAATCACATTATATAAATAGGTGATGCTGCTCTTCTCATACGTTAGTGTCTTCTCGCCTAAAGCCCTATAGTACTTCTCTCATTTAAATGCTTACCGCTTGCTGAAAATTCCACCGCCCACGTCCTGTCCACCGCAATGATTCACTCTAAGCTGATTATACTCCACTGGCCGGGCGTCTCCGTCGTGTCCCGAGAATCATCTCTTGCCTCGTTCTGTGTGTGGAGATCGTCCTGTCGAAGGAAGGTATGATACTCCGGCGGAGGACCGCCAAGCAACGGCGCCGCCTCGGGATCCAGGAGCGAGTACGCAGGCAGCGGCTCGAGAGACGAAAGCGACGAGAGCGACGATCTCGATGAGGCGACGGGGCGTAGCCCGTGGTATCTATGTCTGGCCTCCCATGAGTGCACGAGCATGGCGATGAAGATTTGCGTGACCACGAGAAATATGACTAACGCACAAACCACCACCAAGACCACCAGGAAGTCGTTCACGACCAGTTCTGGATTTTCGCTCTCGTTATGGCGGTGCTGTGGTGGGACTGGGATATACATGGTGTCTGTCGTTGTTGCTGTTGTTTTGTTGCCGTCGCCGTCCGTCGTCGTAGTTGCTATTGTTGTCCACAGTCCGTCTTCGTCGTAGTGTTTGCTATTGTACGTTGTGGTTGGCTCGTTTCTTGTAATACTTCGCTTGTTACGCGTTGTTGGGTTGACGGATAATGGCAGATGATGGTGAGCCGCTTTGGAAGCTGAAGATCCGTTCAATTGTATGTGTGTGCGAGGTTTCGGAGTTGTGTGGTGAGTAAATAGGTGCAGCAAGGTTGCACAGTCTTGCCAACGCGAAATCTTCTTCGCATGTCTAATTTGTACCTATCAAGTCTCTATTATTGAGTTTTATTGTTTCCTGGCCAGTCCCAGACATCACGGTCTATATATGAGTGCGGATGAACCTCTTTGGCAACCAGCGATGGCACTCGATTAGATTGCCAATCAATGTACGTTTATGAGACGTTCTCCAGCTACCTTCATCTTTATTGATCCTCGAGACTTTCCAAACCGGAAGGGTTACGTGAATTATCTTATCACTCACCCTCGCACCCGAAATTCTGCTGGCATCATGACTGACACGTTAGTCCAGTGGAAGTCTAGCAGGCAATTCTCTTTCAAGGTTCCTCAACTGTTAGGGTATCATGTCTGGAATCGAAACTCAGACCGATATTGATGATATGTTTGACGCGTACTTAATGTCCAGAAATACCACTTCATTCCAAACGAACCCAGTAGATAGAAAGAATACCCTGTTGTCTCTTTTGTGAACCCGAAGTTCTCACTCATTATGACTGTTCAAACAAATTGTTTTGTGGATAAATAGTTCCGTGAAGGTTGCAAAGTTCTTGTCTATGGTAACCTTTCCAGATCGAGCACAGCCGGCGGACTACTACATTGGCAAATGTGCTAAGGCATAACTTCGTTTAACTAAAGCTTTGTTCAGTCTACAACAATCAAGAAAATTGATGCACTGCTCTATCCGATATCAAATCTTGAGCTGTTCAGCTCTCAAAGACATGTCCGGTAGCGTGGTCCACCCGCAGCCTGCCGGTGGGATAGCCGTGCCGCTATGGTTGGTGACTACCGGCACTCGGCAGTCGGCAATCGAGGCACCACGATGAAAGTCCATCGCAAACTTCTCACCAACCAACCTTGTAATAATTTCACATGTGAAAGCTTGAGGACTTCTTTTTTTTATGACGGACGCATCGCAGTCGTATTAAAATCCGCAAATCTTCTTCTTGGCCTACTTTCACGTATAGCCCGTCTTACTGTACAGCATTGAAGACGCCCTGTGCTTGCTACTCCAGCATCGACTCTGGAAAACTCCACCAAACTCCAAGATGGGTAGCAAGTTGATCGAATTCATATCCACAGGCAAAGTGAGGATGCGAGAGCCGATGAGCGGCCAGCCCATCACCAACAAAAGCACCACTCTTCGCCTACTGCGTTGTTTCACGGGCGAGTGGACCCCCTGGCTCCCCATCGGCGTGTTCCTCGTCAGACATGCCGACGGCCCTATTCTCATCGACACGGGTGCCTCGCCCCAGTGCATGCAGGCGGGATATTTCCCTATGTTGAGCTACCTCACCACTGTGCTCAGCGAGCTCCAGTTGGTGCCAGAAGACGGCATCGTCAGCCAGCTTGCCAAGCTCGGCGTGAAGCCGACGGACCTGCAAGCCGTCGTTCTGACGCACCTGCACCACGACCACGCAGGCGGCCTGGAGGAAATCGTCGAAGCTGCCCCGGACGTGCCGGTGTACATCAGCGCGAGCCACTGGGATGCCTTCGGAAAGCACCCGACGTACGCAGCCGTCCAAGGCTGTGCGTCCAACCACTGGCCGAAGGATTTCAATCTGCGGCTGCTGAACTTTGATGGAAAGCCTCTCGGTCCTTGGACAAAGTCAGATTCCATCACAAAGGATGGGCAGGTCATGGCCGTGGAGACACCTGGACATGTCCCGGGACACATTTCTGTCATTATCAAAGATGGGAGCGGAGGCCCAGATACTCCCGACACGTACTTCATCACGGGCGACGCAACTTACAGTCTGGAACTTCTGGAAAGGGGAGAGCCCGATGGGATCAACCAGGATCCGATGACTGCGTTCGAGAGCCTACAGCTTATCAAGAGGTTCTCTGAGCAACAAAAGGTCGTTGTTCTGCCCAGCCATGACGTAAATACGTCGATGATTTTGGAAGAGAGGAGGCAATATCGGGCAAAGCAGTGATATCAAAATTGGTAGAGAGACGAGAAAAGTGTCTAATTGATCCGATGTAACTTTCAAATCTTGTCTGGTTCATCGAGATACCATGTCGGGTCTTCGTCTCCAAGCTCTTTGGTCGAGAAACCGTTCCCCAAGAACTGAAAACGATTTTGCTTATTGACCCGGATGTATTCCCAGTCTTCACCCCTGAAGCTCTCCAGCATGTGGAAGAAATGAATTCGGCTGCCAGGATGTAGTGCCGTCACCGGTCCGTCTATCGTCCCCCCTTTGAACCAAGAAATACAGCTTCCAGACCAGGCAGTACGAGGCATGAACCTCTGTGTGTGTTCAAAGAGTTCGTTGACAGCAGATTGCTGCGGTGCTATAGCATTGATGCCCTCAGTCTGACACTTCTTAATGATGCGTACGAGATACTTGGCTATGTGTTCGGTGATTGTGAAGACACTGCCATGCCCGATAGGCGCGTTGGGACCAAGGAACACTATGTACCATTAGTCCAATGCAAAGAAGCGGAGGTCGACTAAGTTGCGTGACGCACTGAAGTAATTGGGGAAGTCGGGGACTGCACACGACATGTACGATTTGGGAACTCCCTCAGTCCAAAGGTCCTGCAGATTGCCTCGTCTCCCAAGGATCGGGAATCGAGGGCGAAACGAGACATCGAACCCCGTGGCGCAAATAATGGCGTCCACTTCAATCAGTTCACCAGTCTCGGTTCGGAGACCCTTGGCCTCAATCCTAGAAATCGGATCTGTGACAACCCTCACGTTGGGCTTCCGGAGAGCCCAGAGGTAGTCCACCGCGGGCGTAAGCCGCCGGCATCCGAGAGGAAACTTGGGTATGATGGCATTGCACAGTCGCTCGTCCCCACCCAGCGCCTCCTTCATGTACTCGGCTGCCTTCTCCTGTACGCTGGCTGCGAAATCGGTGTCTTTGAGGGTCTTTTTGCGAGTTAATTCGGCGCCCTTGCTGGAGTGGAAATGGCCTGACTTACAATAGGAAAGTTTCCATTCACGACTTCTTCGACCGCCTTAACAAACTTCCTGTAAAAGATTGGATCTGTCTTGAAACGCTCGATTTGAGCCTCGGTGAAGTCTGCATTTTCTCTCATGCCAACCTCCCCGAGGATCCCACCAGCAGCGCCCTGAGCCAGGAGCTGAAGACGACCGGGGACAACCCAGGTGGGCTCTCTTACAAAGTGTACCAGTTTCTTCACGTCTGCGACCGGTGTCAGTCAAGTGTCGCTTCATATTTAAGTATAGTGATTTACCTGGTTGTATTTCTGGCAAGATTTGGACTCCGGAAGAGCCGTTGCCAATGACAGCGACTGTCAGACCGCTGTGGTCAAAGCCGGACGGCCAGTCGGCACTATGAATAAGGTGACCTTTGAACTTCTGCAGTCCCGGAATTTTGGGCCACTTCCAATGGCTATAGTGACCCTTGTCAGCAGTAGAAACATTCAATGACAAGTGGCTTACTTGAGAATCCCCGAAGAGTCCAACAGGAAGTGACAAGTGTCATCGAATTCGGAGTTGTCTTCCAGATTAAGAATCCTCAGCTTCCAAACACAGTTGCTTTCATCCCATTCAGCTCGGTTGACCTGGTGTCTCAATTTTATCACCTCTCGCATCCCCTCTTCCTCGCAGACTTGGCATAGATAGGATTGGATCTCTGTTGCTGTCGAGAAGAAGCCGGTCCATTCTGGATTCGGACGCCAGGAGAACTGGTAGTTGTGCGACGGAACGTCACACTTGCAGCCCGGGTACCGGTTTTCGAACCAGGTACCTCCTATCTCTGGGTTCTTTTCATAGACGACATGTTCAAAGTCGGTCAAGTGGAGACGCAAAGTCCGAATCATGTTGAGCCCACTCATACCGGCCCCGATGGTGACAATCCGGACATGTCTCATGACCCCCAGTGGCCGTTCTGAGACCTGGTAGGGTGCCGTTTTGGCGCCATTTGGAGTGTCTGAAAAATGGCCCGCAATCTGTCGTACTCTGTCAGACATGGTGGCGATGGATGATTGGATTTGGGCGTTGACTCATTTCACGCCTTTGACCGAAGGATATATATAAACTACTCCAGTAACATGCGACTGTTCAAAAGAACTCCCGTGCGATCATTTGTGAACTGCTGCCCCGTGTTTGTCCCTACACTCGCCCCTGAAACACAGGTATGCACTTTACCGATAGCCGGTGTCAACACGCGGGTATCAGGCTATTCAACGACCAGTAATGGACATAATGATGAATTCTTGAGTGACCAGCATTGTCAAGTCTCTTCGGAACCGCCGGAGTTCACCAAGTCGGCCGAGTCCGTCATGTCAGAGTTGACGCCAGTGCCGAATGCCGAGTGCCGACCGCCTCTTCCACGGGGGCGGGAAGGCCCGTCAAGCATTTCCAGGGGTCAGAGTGCCCTGCGTCATGTTTGTAGCGTGCTAGGGCTTGTCCCCCTGAGGCGAGGTTTCCGAGGTTTCCAGTGTTCTCCCAGCAGCTAAGCCTCGGTTCCCCGCAGCCTGGAGTGGTCTTAGTCTGCTTTATTTTGTTGCGCTGTTTCCACGGCCCCAGTGAAGACCTCTCCGAGTCTTTCTTCAGCACGTAAAATGGTTCAGTCTCGGCCCCTGAGAGACCGCGCGAATGTGGTCTGCGTGGATTGCCATGCCCGAAAGGTCTGACACTCCCGGAGACAGCCCATGCTTCTTCGTCAGCTGACGCTCTTCTAGGTCAAATGCGACCTGCAGGACAGGCCGGATAAGGTCTGCACCAATTGTCGTCGGCTCAACCACGACTGCATGTAGGTAGTCTTACCTCTGTCTGGTGCTGTACCTGCTTACTGACAAGCTGCGTATTTCAGCCGCCGCGATGGAGTTCGTAAACGGCGAAAAGGGCAACGGCTTGCGCAACCTCCTCGTGTGCCGAGGACCGACAGACAGCACCGCACTGGGCCCATAGCTGCTTCTTCCACGGATGACGCTTTGGGCGGAGCTATCGGTAGGCCGCCGTCATCGGATGTACCGAGACGCGGTGGTCGCAGCGATCCAACGGCAGACGTAGCCCCGCCGCCGATGGCGTTTATCTCTCCGTCGACAGTCATGTCGTACGATGCTACACATGGCGAGCCAGATATCAATCCTAGTAACTCGCGGACCTTAGACACTAAGTCGGCAATACTAGGGCTGACCCAAGCTGACGTACTGCCTCGACCTGCTTTGCTCAGAGCATTGATAGACTCCTACTTCGATCATGTCTACCCGCTCTATCCGGTTGTTGATAGAGAGGATGTGCTGGGGCCAGCCCCGTCTACTCTGCTACTACAGGCCGTCAGTATGGTCGGCTGCTTGATGCGGCGTGGATCTGAGAGCATGGAGCTTTGCCGTTCGCAGTATGAGAAGGTCAAAACCTTGATTCACCTGAATTACGAAGCCGATACCCTGGTCTTACTCAAGTCACTTTGTCTAATGACATGTTACAGCGTCATGTCCACGGACTTGGTGACTCTGGATGGTCCATGGCACTGGTTAGGTGTTGCATTACGGATGGCCCTGCAGATGGGTCTCCATCATCGTTCCACCCACGATCGGCACACCAATCCAGGTTGTCTGCGCCGGATTTTCTGGCAGCTTGTGGTTCGTACTGCTACCAGCTAACAAAGATTACTGCACGCTGACCACTTGTCAAGACTTCAGATCGACTTGCAGCCTCTTGCTGGGGGCGTCCGTTGTCCCTTCATCCTCAGGAATACGACATACCGCCCTTAGAAATCAGTGACTTTCCCACTACGGACTTGCATTCGTACGCTTTCTTGGAGGTTGTGAGATTAACAGAGATTATGAGCATCATTGCAGAAGCTGGCAATGGGCGATCAAACATCACTCAAGAAGAGGCTGCGACTCTCGTCCAGCGACCATGTGACTGGCTCCAAACCCTGCCTGACAGTCTACACCTCTACAACGCCTCTGGTATCAGAAGGCCGTTTTATCGTCCCGCAAGCGATCTGCATATCATATACTTTGTTACCATTATTCTCTTACAGCTTCTTGATGGGAAAGGGACGAGGCCGTCTATTGCAGCTTCATCACTCACCGCCGCATCGTGTATATCCCGTCTTTATGAGGAGATTCATTACAGGGAGGAGACAGCCCACCTCATTGCCATTCATGGCTACTTTCTTATGGTAGCAGCAGTTCCCTTGATTTGTTTCCCTCGCCAGTCACAAGAAGACGAAGTGACTCGAGATGAGGAGTTAAAGATTATTTGCGACGTGCTGAGCGAAATGCGATCCCGGTATGGCGGCTCGGACCTAGTGCTGCGGAAGATTAGGCAGCTGCAGAAGGACACTGATAGTCGCGGAGGCCAATCTGGCCACGATTGTCGGTCTGGCGTCCTGGGAGAGCAAGCTATGTGGGCGACGCGCAGTATTAACGAGCGGCTGAATGACCTCTTTGCTTTTCCCCCAAGCCTCTGTCCTCGAATAAATATTCCAGAGGCGGAGATGAACTCAACAGAAGGCGCTGGAAGAGACTGGCTGTCGCAGATAGAATATTTCCCCGATTTCCTGTCCGAAAATGGGTTGAATCTGACCGATATGCTGGCTTTGGATTACAACCTTCTGGAGATGCCCAATGACAGTAGCGTGGGTTTTTGAACTGGAAGATTGCACTTGTATCTGGAGTCATGACACCTTCTGGGGGTTGTCTTGCTAAGGAGTTGGGTAGTGTAACACGTCAAATCAACACTTTGCAATCGAGGACAATTCTGGTCTCTCTTTCTCTGATCAAGGGGACCTCGGCTCTCGGTATCAGCAGCACGTTCGGCACTGAGCACATTGCCGCACTCCATGCCGAACATGTTTGTTGTTGTGTCCACCCTATCCGGTGTGCCATTCATAGCGATCCCGGAGTATTAAAAACGCTGTTTCTCAGGGCGGCGTGTCCACCTCATCGTTTTTGATCGCATGCAGCCTTTGAACAACCTCTGCAACATAGACTGGGCATTGTTAGACCTCGCTGGAGATGGAGAACTTGACCGAAAAACAGCTGCTGGGGCTTAAGATGATGAACGAATTCTTTGGCGAGGACTTATTCAATGAGCTCAGGGAGGCTTCGGTGAGTCTTTTATCACCGCCGAGTGGGAGTCATCGCTGACTCCGCGGAAAAGCGAGATGATTTCCCAAGCAAGGTCGGGTCTGAATACATCGCCGAAACTTGCTTTTCATCATACGCTCGGCCAGGTCTCACCTTTCAGCAACGGTCTCTGATGAATTTAGGCATGCTCATCGCTCTCAACCGAGGCCCGGAATTGCGCATTCACATAAAGGCGGCCCTCAACAACGGGCTGTCAGAGGAGCAGATTACTGAGGCCTGTAGACATGCAATGGTTTACTGTGGGGTCCCTGCTGGAAGAGATGCACTGTCTGTTGCCAGTGAGATCTTCAACGAGAAAAAGACTAGCAAAAGGATGGAGAAGGCAAAGCTAACTTGAGTTTTTGGGACGACTCATGAGGATGTACGATCTTCATGGCTAAATAAGTTTGTTTGTAACCGCACTCAAAGTTCTAAATGCGACGTCTATTACAGAGTGGTGGTCTTGAGCGGAAGTGATCCACAGTCAGATCTATCAGGGTTGAACAGGCCCAAATCGGAGAGACGTGATCGTGGACTGTCCGAAGTTTACTGAACACTGCCTGAAGATTTTTAGAATTAACGTCATTCATCTTTGTTAGATCTGCAAAATTCTCATGACACATTTCTTGGGGGGGAAAAAAAACAAGGAAGCACTTGTGCGGGATGGGCGTGTTGGAAAGTTTTGAGGCCAAATGACCCACCAGGATCAATCGTGAATCACACACGATCCACAAGGTCTAAGCCCTATAATGCAAATTTGCTGCCTAATTCCCAACAACAACCTCATACAACAAAGCACAATAGCTCAGGGGTAGAGCGCTGGGCTCATAACCCAGAGGTCCCTGGATCGAAACCAGGTTGTGCTACATTTCTTTTGCATTTTTGTTCTCGTGTCTTTTTTTCTTGTTCTGTTTAGCAGGGAACCTGTAAGCGTTGACAACGACCCAGTCTCTGAACGGGGACAGTGCCCTCACGGTATCACTACTACTGCTCAACCACGAAATCTGAACCAGAGTTCTGCGCCCACAATAGTTGCATGATCTATCTTGACCTGTGCCTCCAGAGGAGCGCAGTGGCGAATGCCTCAGACTATTCCTAAGCTTTACTGACTACCGCCATCACCCGTTCCCACATTAAGCCGCCCAAGACGTCGAATGAAATTCCATCAGGGCATACCACTGGATGATACTACCAACCAGGAAGGCGGTACTGGCAATGAACGAGACCACGGCACTGCCGAACATCTCGTTGGTGAGAAGCATGACACCTGTGACGATGAAGCCGGCCGATGCCATGGTGTTCCAGGCAGCACCCTGCCAGTCAGATGCCCAAAACCTGGGTTTGAACCAGCGTTCCTGAGTCTGTATGAGCAGAGCGGTGTTGGCGAGGAAGAAAAGAGACCCGCCAATGACTTGCGGCATGAAGACGAAGGCTTGGAGAAGGAAAAGGTTAGTCGGGTCAAGGACGCCCGGGAACCCAGCAACAGCAGCCGTTGATAGAATGATTCCGCCGGACAACATGACCAACCCGGCCTGGAACGGAACTGTGCGGAGGAGGGCGGCGAAATCGGCCGCGGATGGTAGCCATACCCAAGCTTCGGATCCGACAAGGGCGGGACGGTAAATAGCAGGGGCATCACCATCTACAGACTTGGTGTCGCTCTTCTCCAGCGTTCCACGGTCGGCATTGAAGGCGGCAAAGATGCCAAGGATGCCTCCGGTCATGAACATGGAGGCACCAATCAGGATCGTACCCGGGATCGCGACGGTCGCCAGTGTTTCGAAGCCAAGACTTGGGTCGAGAAGCGGGAACAAGCCAAACCCTGCGTTGATGACGAAGGCGATACTGCCGACGACGAAGAGCATGGTGACTATCCAGTTCATATCTTTATACGGAAAGATTGTGAACATGCGGGCGACCTGTGACCGTCTCAATGTCTCGACCTCGATAGCGTCTTCGATGGTGTACTCTTTGATCGGGGATGGGAGAGATGCCTCCCTATCCATGTCGCATCGGACGCGGTATTCGAGATAGTCCAAGGTCTGCACAATGCGCCGCCTTTCGCCTGTGCCGACCTCGATGCCGGTTGTTCTCGACGGAAGAGCATGGTTGTTGAGTCTTGGAGGAGCCTGCACTGGTACCAGAATGGATGTTCGAATCCTAGACGCTCGTAGGTTGGCTGAGGCGTTCATTTTGGCGATTTTTACTTTCAAGATCCAATCTGATTAATGAAAGCGAGCTTTTTTGGCGTAGGTGACGATTCCAGCTCGCCGAAATTACGCAGGCAGAAATCCAAGGAAAATAGACAGCAGAGAGAACGAAGTCGAACAGAACACAGAAACGACAATAACAACAAAAGTAATACGTCGAATGAAGAACAGAATGGCGTGCCAGCACGCTGGAGAGAAGAGAAAAACATCTTCCCAGTCGAAGGTTGTAATGATGTTATGAGGCGATGGCATTGACAGAGTTCATCGCACTGACGTGGACAGTCGCGCCTTTCCATGGCTCTGGCAAGGACATGAGACAACTGGAATATCACCCAAGTGCCGGACCGGCGTTGACATGGTGTTTTGATCGCCGTAGCAGTCTGGAGAACTGGGGGACCAGCAGAGGACGTGCTGGGGAGGTTATAATAAGAAATACAGTTGACATAGCCGCTACCTTAAAGCCAATTAGCTGACATGTTTTTCCCTGACACGATGTGCTCCATGCTCCCGACAAATTTCACGGGGTCTCCCGGTGGGATCTCCCGTGTCCCGCGGTCTCCGGGTTGCCATCGGCACCGTCTCTGACCCGCCAAACTTTTGCCCGAATTGGGAACGCGCTGCCGGAGATCAGATCAGCCTGGACCAACAGTCCATTCGTCTCGTTTCAAGCTCGCAGTCGTTTCGCCTATTTCGGTTTAGTGCATCCTGTCCAGAAGCTCTACCCTGGTAAGTATTATGAAATCAAAATGCTTGATTGCGAACGTCTTCATTGCTGATGACACCTCCCTGGTGGGTTCTCGTGAGCTTGAATCAGTTTCGTGTTTCTACTCAACCTCAATATGCCTGAATTTGCCTAGAAACTTTCGCCTAGAATCGTGAACATGTTGTTTCCAAACGTTCTTATACGCCTGTCTGCGCGCCTCCTTTCTAAGGGCAAAGCGAGTACACAGTCAATTTCCTCGCATTTCCTTTGCCGTCTTCTGGTCCTCCTGAGCCAATATGGGTAATTCAGTAGTTGAAGCCGAGCAGGGGCGCAACTCATCCCCGGACAACCAAACAACCCTCGATGAAAAAGAACAAGAGCGATTGGGCCGTCAGCGGCCTGAGGTCTTCAGTAACACCTTGCAAGAAGTTGGATTCTGCGCGTCAGTGCTGCTGTCCAATATCATGGCAGTATGTCAAGCTATCAATCTGAGTTCCACGTACTGCTCTGCGGAGAGCTAAATATTCATCTACAGGAGTTCCTCATTAGCGGCTTCAACGTCCTTCTGCCTAATCTCATATCCGACCTTCACTTCTCTGCAAATGACAAGACTTGGCCGTCCAGTGTCTTCTCTCTAGTTGCGGGAGGGTTTCTTCTGCCCTTTGGACGACTCACAGACATGTATGGGGGCTTCCCTATGTTCTTTGCCGGTAATGCATGGATGGCTGCGTGGTCCCTCATTGGAGGCTTCAGCCGCAATTACATCATGCTGGTCGTTTGCCGCGCGCTTCAAGGCCTCGGCGCGGCTGCCTTCCTGCCTTCAGGTATCTCCCTGTTGGGCAGTGTCTACCGACCTGGCCGCCGGAAGAACATTGTCTTTAGCCTTTACGGTGGTTGTGCACCTTTTGGCTTCTTCTCGGGGATTTTTATCGCCGGTATCTCGGGCCAGTTCTTGAGCTGGAGCTGGTTCTTCTGGATTGGCTGCATACTCCTGACCTTTGTGTGTATCCTCACCTTTTTCTGTGTTCCCAGACAGATTCACCAGGCGCGCATGCCTATGGATTGGTGGGGATGCGCCACATCGATTCCGGGTTTGATGCTGTTGGTTTATGCCATCACCGATAGCCCTCATGTACCAAAGGGCTGGGCATCGCCACAGATCCTGGTGACATTCATTGCCGGCATCATATTTCTTGGAGCCTTTGTTTACGTACAAGGCTGGGTTTCAACAGCGCCGCTTCTTCCTCCCAAGCTGTTTGCCCCGAAGTACACAATCGCGTTATTCTGCTGCCTTTTTGCTGCTTTTGGGTCGTTTGGAATCTATCTTCTCTATGCCAGTTTCTAGTAAGTACTTAATCACTCCACTATCATCGACAGTCACGAACTTACCGGTTCAATCAGCATCGAGACCATCCTCCACATTCCCCCACTGTTGGCTGCCGCCTGGTTTGCACCTCTTGCGATTGGAGGTGTCATTATCGCCATCGTTGGCGGTGCGGTGTTGCACAAACTTTCAGGAACTATCCTGCTGCTTCTCTCCGTCACGGGGATGTTGGTATCAAGCCTTCTTTTCATCTTGATACCTGAAAACCCCAACTACTGGGCGTGGGTGTTTCCCGCCATGATCTGCGCGACGATCGGCATTGATATTATGTACAATGTCAGCAATATTTTCATCACCACTAGTGTACGCAGCGATCAACAGGGCATCGCCGGGGCATGCGTCAACGGCCTTCTTTTCTTGGGTATCAGCTTCTTCCTTGGTTGGGCCGATTTGGCCGCAGCGCAGGCATCACCAAACAACCTCAAGAAAGGATACAAGATTGCTTTCATCATGGGTGCTGCATGTGCAGGAGCGGCCATACTAATCATTGTGGTGGGGATAAGGATTGACAAAGCCAAGGGGGATCTGACCGCTGACGAGCGCGAGCAATTGCAAAGTGAAGCCGTTGGCAGCGCTCCCATGGCGAACCCAGGCAAAGCGTCATGATAACAACTGTTTTGACTTAGATAGTGTACGATTAATTATTACACAACCCGAAATATTCAGATCTTCTAATCGCTTTGCGCTTCACAAGATTTCATACACCATGGCCGTCAGAGCCGTCTCCACCAAGCCACACCGGCGCCGCAACCTTCACTGCCTGCTTTGGATCTTCAGACTTGAATACATCGTAGCAATGCTCAATGTGACTTTCCTTGTCATACCGCTTCTCTGTCATGAATCCTTTATCTCTCAGTCTATACTGTTTCCTCCAGTAGAAAGCACAATGTGCTACATGCCAGCCATTTGTGGTGTAGAAGTATGCCTGGTCGGAAGGCAAGTCGACTAAAAGAGAGATTTCGCCAATGTTTGTAGATACGTTGGCGGCATTATCTTTGTAGTACGGCCAAGACCCGTTGGGTCCAGGGCCAGCGCGCTCGAACTCAGCGGTAAGCTCGTCGTCACGACAGTGTGGCGGCAGCCAAGACACCGACAAGCTGTCGTATTTGCAGTCCAGTTTCTTCGCTTCGGCGAGAGAAGAGCCGCAGCTACATTCCAGTGGGTGGGGGGGACGAGGACTGTACTTCTGATCTCTCACATAAACCGCGGTAGAGAGAACACCCAGAGCAGCGACCAAGATGTTGAGGAGTAGTAACTGAGTATAGAAGGAGAGCCTTCTATGAGCGGCTCTCTGCGCGTTCGGAGGTTCTGGTTCGGCTTCATTCTCTTTCGATTCGGCGGCGTCTGTGGAGTTCGGCAGAGCAGAGTAGTCGGCCGGCATGTTCTGCAGAAGATTGCGTCGTACTTTGGGCTTTTGGGGATTTGTTAATTTATTGAATTGATTGATCGTATGCCAAGCAAAGAGCAGTTCTATTTTGGTGAAGGTTTCTTCTTCCTTGGATTTCCTTGGATTTCTGTCCGGCATAGATGGATATTGATGTTTGTCTGCACCTTGTTCGAAGTTCGGACTTTTACCTGGTCCAGTTCCTCATCTGATGAGGAACACATGGCCCAAACCCAACGTGTCAAGCACACCAGGATGAGCCCACCAGCTCCCTCTCCACACGCCAGAACCACGTTTTGCAAAGCTTCTTTCCTCGGAATTGGCCCTTTGCTCGACCTGCGCTATGGATCGAGCAAAATCTGACCATCGTAATGCGACTCAACGACCCCGTTTCAATCTGCTTGAACAAATATGATGCCAGCCAACAACTTCACTTTGAGCTATTAAATGGTGCGCGCAAGACTGCCTGACTCGTTCTTGATGGCGCAGATCATGCTTTCCTGAGTACCTAAATTTCTTTTGGCGTTGTAGAAAGCGTGACTGGGCTCAGAATCACCAACTGAGGTTTGCGCGCGCGGCGCAGAGAAGGCGTCTGTGACGAAGCACTTGCTCAATTTTGGGGTCCGGCCCATTCGTTTAATGCGTACGTAGAAACTGAGGTGCGTGGTGTCAACAGTATCGTTCTATCAGCACCTTATGTTTTAGTGGTAGGAAAAGAGCCCTGCTTTTGTTAACCGCCGCAGTCTGAATCCGGAATTCCGGGGTTTGTTATTTCTTTAATCCATTCCAGATCAGCTATCTTAATATGGTTAACAACTGAGGTTTGGGTGTGCCCTGGAATGCAGCTGAAGAAATCTATTCTCAGAAATTGCTGAAGGATCACAGGACTCTCCCGCCCTAGCTCATCTGATATTGCCAAGAAAACATCGCATTGAGCAGCCCTACCATGATTCCTTCTTAAAAGGACTCGATCCGTTGGGGTCGGGGTCAGAGAGAGCCGCTCGCCGACCTCTGTCATTCGCGGACTGAGAGTCGGCTGAGTCGAGCTGTCCTTGCCTCAACGTCTGCGGCTTCAGGCGAATCTGTCCGCCTTTGCCCCCGCTGAACGGTCTCTGTCGCTGTAGCCGCGCGTATCTTGGCAGATTCGGGGAAGAGATCACTCACTTCCGCCATCGGCACCCAGTGGCGGGAATTTTCGGGTACCAGGCGTCTTGTAACGCCTTCGTTACCAGTATAATGGGCCACGTCAAACTTGACACACGCACGTTTCTAAGCTGACTGTTTAGAAAGGCGGCAAGAAACACAAAAGATTCGCTTGCTTCATTCGTGCATCCAAGAACGCCGTTTTGATTCGATCCTCGGGCAGAATGTGAAATCCTCCAAACTCTCTTCTTCCTCCCTCAGCCTACATCCTCTCATACAGCCGCACGGTTGTTTTGGACTCGAATTCGCCAACCGCCACATGCGCCGACACGGAACAAGACAAGCAATAGGCACAGTGCCTAAGTGAAGAGTCCGTGGGGGTAAGACGGGCCAGGGGACCTAGCGGCGGGGAATAGGTGCAAGTTGCCGCTTGCCCGGGCCGAGCGTATTTTGTTTTTTTGAAGGAGGCGATGGACCTACTTCGACTTTTGACACGTATAAGCCACACTGCTCAGACCTTCAGCTGCCAAACGCAAGATACGCTTTGCTTACACAGAGCCAAGACACGGCCGAACACGGTCGCTGTCCTGAGCGAATCGACGCCGTTGTTTGGAGTCGAGGTATGGGATCCTTTGACAGATGTAGGCTGTTGCCACAATGAAATTAGGTCCTCAGGATTTGGCGGATTAGAGATTCTGGGGCAAGAAGGCTTGACATGCCAGCATACCCATGCATCACGGAGAGAGAATCAACGACATCTCCTCGGGCGCTTAAGAGAGCGCGCTTAACGGCGTTCATGAACGGGTACAGCACCGTACATATTCATGATTCATCATGCAACGGATGCTCCTTCTGCGAGATGAGCCACTGTGTGCCGATATAGCCATCATCACCGCGGAACCCTTACGAACCCGAAAGCCGCCCGAGGGTTGCATGGTGGCGTCCCTCTTTTCTTGCCGCATACAGCTTCATGCCCAGATTGCCTCGCGACCTGCAGGCTGGTCTGAACCTGCTCTGCCTTGCATGCTCAATTTGTCGGGTCCATGACACTACCCGACAAGGACAGGCGCATACTTGCCGCTCAGTCGGACCTGCGCGCTACACACAGCCAGGCAGAAAAGACATCTGACACTGGCACGTCGAACCGTTTACCAAGGCGGCGATCATGGCTCGGGACCGACTTGACAAGGCACCAACCGCAACTGCACCGCTCAATCCTCGCCATCAGACTGGCTGGAACACCATCTGATATCACTGCCGATCCGAATGTTGAAACAAGATATCCGGGCTCTTGGTATAAAGATCTCCTGCTGGTACGTGGGGTGTAAACAGGGCTCCTCTGAGCGGCGCAAAATCCACCGGTTCTTCGCAAAGGACGACAAAACAAGGCTAGACCGCGGGTCATTCCCGAACGACAAGACCGTGCTTTCGAGGTTAATCGCGTGTTGGCCACCGCCAAGGACCAGCTTCTGACCTTATCTACAGGTTGGATCGACCGTTGAAGTTGAGGATTCTGGAAGATCTCTCCGTGGCTTGCCTCCCTCTTTCTTCTTCTTTCGTTCATCGAAGATTGATCGGTCTGTAATTGGATCAGACGTTTGAGCAGCTTAGGGTAAGCAAACTTCACCTCTATCTTCTTCATGAGAACGTAGACGAAATCAGCTCACACTTCCAAGATACAGTGTCACGACCAGACGTCGAGTAAACATTCTCATATCACTGTTGCTTAATACGCCATCAATATGAGGTCCACGCTCTCGAAGGGCGTCGTGTTCCTTCTGTACGGCTTAGCCGCCGCGGCACCCCAGTCGTCCTCCGGTAATGGTGTCTCAAAGAGACAATCTTCGCCCTCTGTACCATCGGGCGCCCCGAATGCCCCGGCACCTAGCGCTCCTGCAGCCTCTAATACACCGGAACCGGTCAATAAGTCTTGCAACGCTCCCGATAGCAGAGGCTGCTGGATGGATGGGTTTGACATCAACACTGCCTATGAGGACAAGACTCCAGATACTGGAATAACTCGCCAAGTAGGCCGATCAAAAGTTTTAACTAGCCAGCGGCTGGTGTGCTAACAAGAATCTTCAGTACGAATTGGTGCTCACCGAGCACACTTCCTTCACGGGTGGAGATGGAATGAACAAGAACACCGCGATGCTCATCAACGGTGAGTCCTATAGCCGTTTAATTTGATGAAAGTTTGTTGCTAAATATTTTGAAGGTGCCTTCCCTGGCCCGACGATTGAAGCTGACTGGGGAGATCATGTTGAAGTGCGGGTTGTCAACAACCTGAGGACAAATGGGTACGCAGAAACCAGATTCTCATGTTGATCTGACAAAACTAACGCCGCGCAGTACTTCAATCCATTGGCACGGTCTCCGTATGTTCAACAACAACGTCAATGATGGTGTGAACGGCATTACGGAATGCCCCCTCGCGCCCGGCTCAAGCAAGACATACAAATGGAAGGCAGAGCAGTACGGATCTTCATGGTACCACTCTCATTTCTCTGACCAGTACGCCAACGGTATCGTCGGTGCCATTAAGATCAACGGCCCTACGTCGGCGAACTGGGATGAGGATTTGGGTGTCTATACCCTCACAGATTGGTACTACAAGGGAGCCGATGAGATTCGAGCTAGCTTCACCGCGCCTGCGGCTGTCCCTGCTAGTGACAACATCCTCTTCAACGGAACGAACGTCAACAAGAACGGTGGCGGCAACTACTCTCGGGTTACACTCAAGCCGGGCAAGACTCATAAGATCAGCCTTATCAACATGTCGGTCGACAACACTTTCTCCGTTCAACTTGTGGACCACAAGATGACGGTTGTCAACAACGATCTTGTACCTGTGAAGCCCTTCGAGACAGACTCGCTGTACCTGAGTGTCGGCCAGCGCTACGAGGTCATCATCAAGGCTGATCAGGACCCCGGAGCCTACTGGTTCAACGTGTCATTCCCGTCCAACAGGCTCTGCGGCACTTCAAACATGAACAAGCCTGCCTCGATCTTCCAGTATGAAGGTGCCAGCACCAAGGCGTTGCCCCGGGACGCCGGCAAGGCCATCACGGACGCTCAGTGTCAGGACAAGACGGACTTCGAGCCCATGTACAGTGTCGACGTAGACCAAAACGGCTTCCAGAAGACTGATGATGATACGCTTGACGTCACTGTCGACACCAGCAGAACCACCAGCAGTCAGCAGGTCTACTGGAAGGTCAATGGCCAGAACATGGACATCAATTGGGATACCCCAACGTTGCAGTATATCGCTCAAAACAAGACTGACTACCCCGCGGCTTACAACCTTTTCAAGGTTCCTGACGAAAACAAGGTGAGCAGTTCTCTATCAACGGATTCGTCGTGTGACTAACACTTCGCAGTGGACCTACTGGGTTATTGAGAATCTTTTCCCTGCTCCTCACCCAATGCATCTTCACGGCCATGACTTCTACATCCTTGGTCACTCTGAGCCTGCCTCCAGTGGCCGTGGTGATGGTGTCCGCTTCAACGCGCAGTCAGACACGTCCAAGCTCAACTTCAAGAACCCGACCCGTCGCGACGTTACACAGTTGCCCGGTCGTGGCTGGCTCGTTGTTGCCTTCAAGTCAGACAACCCGGGAGCCTGGCTCTTCCACTGTCACATTGCATGGCATGTCAGCCAGGGCCTGAGTGTTCAATTCCTCGAGCGCTCAAACGATATCGCCAGCACCATGAAGATTAGCGACATCGACCAGACCTGTGACTCATGGGGTGATTACTCGGCCAATGCTCCCTTCCAGCAAACTGACTCTGGCTTGCGTAAGCGTATTGCAGCCTAGGCATCGCATTGGAATCTACCGCATTTCATGGATTAGCATTGGCTAGGGGCTTGCAAATTTGTGCTTCTTCAAGGTCTGGATGCATGTGCAAATGAGGGAATTGGGTCTGGGCGACGGGCATGGCATGATCACGAACGAGAAAGCGGGCGCATCATAGATCGAAGAAAATTCCGCGTCTTTCTTAATTGAATTACTTTCCTTACTTTATGTATACTATGAGAGTCGAATGGATTTGAATTTGAGAAAATACACATGAGGTTGATACTTTGTGTACTTGTCATAGTGATAGGACGATAAATCAGCAAGACTGGTAGCGTCGCATGCGAATTCAAATTTGGCAATTACGTGTACACGAGGGAGATGGGTCAGGTTATAACGGAGCGTTCCGAACATCTTGTAGATTAAGGGTTTAACGATGGCTCATCAGACAGGGATGTCGTCTTACTTGCATGTAAGCCGGATGTTGTCCACCAATCATCGGTAGGTGATTACTTCAAAGTCCTCCGGTGAATCTCCATGTTGTCCTATAAAAGTCCCCGTTCCGGTAGGCTAAATAGATGAAATTTTGAACTCTCCATGGTTCCTCGCTCTTTCTCTGATTTTTATCCCCAATCGTAAGATCATGGATGACATTGAGATGTACTGGGGCTCTTGGTTCCTCAACGGGTGGACGTTCACAGCTTTTTCAATCCTCCTCGGATTTATCGCCATCCGCCGCGTCCTCCTACCCAAGCCTCTCGCTGGAATACCGTATAATGAGAAAGCAGCGAGCCATGTTTTCGGGGATATTCCCGAGATGATGGGATACGTCTTGCGAACCAAACGCATTTTCTGCTGGCTCACGTCCCTGACGACACGCCACAGAAGCCCAATTATCCAAGCATTCATCAAGCCTGGGTCACTTCCTTGGGTGGTTCTCACCGATCCCTTCGAGAGTCAAGACATCCTTCTTCGCAGAAAGGAGTTTGACCGAAGTAGCTTCTTTGGCGAACTCATCGGAGGGATTCTGCCGGAACAGCATATCCAGTTTCGGTCTGCCGATCCGAAATTCAAGAGGCCCCGTAACCTGATCAATCATTTGATGGCGCCCACATTCATCACTCAAGTCAGCGCCCCAGAGGTCTATAAATCAATCAGCACTTTGATCAAGGTGTGGCAAGTCAAGTGTGAGCAGGCTAAGGGACGACCGTTCTCGGCCCACCATGATATTACCCATGCGGCACTGGATTCCATCTTTGCGTCCTCGTTCGGACTTCCGGAATCGCAGAGTATTACTATGCAACAACTGAATGCAGTGGAACACTCAGCTCCGGAAATTCTCGGTGGCACGGATGAAGAGACTGTTTTTGCAGAAGGCACTATTCCCGACCTTTTCGCTGCCGTCCTCGCCTTGACCAACTCAGTTACTGACACGCAGCTGTCACCGGCACCAGTTCTCACATCCTGGGTTCTCCGCAAGTTCCCTTACATGAAAAAGGCTACAGCTGTCAAGGATGGCTACATTCGTGATAGAATCACCGAGTCGGTGCAACTCATTGAGGGCGGGAAAACGGAGCCTTGGAGCGCACTTCACTCAGTGCTCTTGCGGGAGAGAGAAGTCGCCGTCAAAGAGGATCGCCAGCCGGACTACTACAAGCGTTCCATCTTCGACGAGTTTTTCGGTTTCATGATGGCTGGTCATGATACATCAGCTACTGCCATGGCCTGGGGGGTAAAGTATTTGGCCGATAACCCAGCAAGTCAAGATCGTCTGCGGAATGCTCTGCGTGCCGCGCTCCCTGAAGCCGTCAAAGAGAAAAGGGCCCCTACATACCAAGAGCTCATCAAGGCTCACGTGCCGTACCTTGATGCCATGGTTGAAGAAGTCTTGCGTCATTCGGGACCAATTGCTTTTGTCGTTCGCGAAGCTTTGCAGGATACTACAGTGTTAGGCCGACATATTCCTAAGGGTACAAACGTCTTCCTCATGGCCAATGGTCCCGGATATCTTGAGCACAATATGCCTGTCGACGATAACTCCCGCAGCCCCGGTGCACGCCGCGACCAGAACAAGGCTCTGACCGGCGCATGGGCTGACGGAGATATTGCTGCTTTTAGGCCGGAGAGATGGCTCAAGAATGATGGGAATGCAAAAGACGAGAGTGATGGGGTGTTTGATCCTATGGCTGGCCCAACGCTAGCGTTTGGATTGGGCCCGCGCGGGTGCTTTGGCAAAAGGCTGGGCTTGCAAACACTGAAGATTGAATTTGCGCTCATCGTTTGGCACTTTCGACTCTTACCGCTACCAGCTGAATTGAACGGGTATGAGGGCATACAGAGATTTGCGAGGGAACCTACGCAGTGTTACGTGCGTCTGAAAAATGTTGAAATCTAGGAGCCTTGTGTGGGTTTAACATTGATCACACTTGAGAAAAAGGGATTCAACCAGTTGTTTGTTAACTCTGGAATTTGCAAGAAGGGTATCGGAATTAATAGGTTGCTGGTATCTAAGGCCCTGGCCTTGTACAACCGATTGTTGTCCACTTGTGGCCCTGTGCAGTGGCACGAGCATGATCCAATGATCCAAAACTATCGACAAGACAGATGGCCTTCTACCTTAAATGATGCCTGAACGCCTGTGAAAATGCGAAGACCCAGATCAACCGCTCTTCTCGTTGTAAACCACCTTAGCCATCTAATATTGTCGCATTAGTAGTGTTCAATATCAGCACGCAATGCTACTGGAAATTACTCACCAAGAAGGGGCCGACATATGTCAGCGGGATTCCGACGTCATCGCTGTAGTAGGGAGGAACTCCATAGCCTCTCATGTTAGGGCAGTTGGTGAACATCGGCGGGTTGACGCGGGCCCAGAGGGTCTCGTAGGGGTTGTAGTCAAAGTTGAACTCGCAGACGGGAAGATTGGACTGGGAGGATATTGCAATTAGCTAGTTTGTTTACAGCAGCCTGGAAAGGATATAGGCTACTCACCACACAGCTCAGCGTCATGTCCTGTGTGTCAAATGCCTCGGAGCCATTCTTTCCACGGCAAGACTGGGCGTCGATGTAGAGCTCAGCCGGGGTCGTCCAGTTCTTGGAAAATGCGGTATCAAGAATCTCTTGCATGCGGTCCATGCCAATGTCTTGATGCGGAGTTAGTCAAATCGCATTCACATGCATGTCGAGGGGTTTCAATGTACCGTTTGCCTTGGCCAGACCGTATGTGTCTTTTCCGTCGTGCCAAAGAGGACCGCAAGTGCCCTTGTCACCCAATTTGGAACAGTCGTACGCGCCGATGGGAATCTGTGTAGGGTCGACGGCAGGGCTACAGCAAGGTTAGTTTGACAGGAGCCGAATCAGGTCATCTTTTGTAACGTACTTCTTAACAGCAAAGTAGCCTGCTTGTTGCAGCGCCTGGTTAAATACCCACTTCTTCAGGCTGTGGTACATGAAATCGGTGTTCTGAGGGACATTGGTGTTGAGTCTCTGAAGTTAAATCGTCAGTAGGTGGTTTCAGAACTAATTGCATCGCTATCGAGTCTTACCTGGCTAAAACCACCGTTGTTGACGAGAGCGTAAAACGTGGTGAAGTCCGTTTGGATCTTCGTCAAGGCTTCTCCGACTTGCTTCTGGTAGTCATTGACATGAACTCCGAGGGCATCGGAGAGACCTTCCCAAGGGACGTCGTACTGCTGCTTTTGTGGGAACAAAACGTTGAACAAACCAGCTCCACCACCGAGGACACCCAGGAGGGAAGCAAAGATCATACTGGCGCCCACAAAATTTCCGAGAAGAGGGGCCAAGGCCTACCATGTCCATGAAAGTTAGTGACTGCTTGATTGGCGCTGACAAGTCTAATTGGCACTTACGGCGAATTGTCCGATACTGACAGCATAAATCGGAGCGAAGAGTGGCGTCTTGGGATTCTTCGTTGTTGGCGGTGCAACGGTCTTCACAATTTCGGCGACCGATCCGCTAATTCGACACGTAAGTTACTTAAAACAGATATGTCGAAGGCTTGGCGAGGAAACATACATAGCAGCAGCCTGTCCTTGCAGGAGAGACTGGTGGTAGTTGGTGAAAAAGAGGTTGATGGCTGATGCGCCGGGTTAGTAGGCCTGGCCAGGAAACATATCTCATCGATAGGACGATGACTAACCGTAAATGTTCCAGATAACCTAGATGACTGTTAGGACTTGTTAAACAGCCTTGATAATGTGAAGTACTCACGTAGAAGTCATGGTAAGAGGCGTAGCCTGCATCCTTGCCGCTGGGAGGCGGGGTGCATGCGTTGAGGGCCACAAAATCGCATTGCCATGTAATCAAGCCCTGCGATTCAAGTCAGATCGAGATAACAACATGCAACGTTGGCAGGGTCATAGATAGGGCTGTCCGTACGGCGTTATCCAAATAGCATTGCGCAAAGCCCTTGTTCTGAGCTTCGCATTTCGCCGAATGGTTGGACCACCAGTACTGATAAGCGGTTAGCACAGTCCCAAATGCGTTAAATATTTGCTGTTCGGCATACGTTGAGGTGGTTGTTCATTTCGAGAACTTGCCAGCATTCGGGCAGAATGCCGTCTGCAGAAAAGAAAGAGCACTGATCAACGGTAACATTCTGCGATCCCGCATCCTGCCGAGGTTCCAGCACCTCGATCTCCTGTGCAAATGGCATGGGTGAAGCAATTGCGCCTAGCGCAAGCAGCGCAACGATGTTGAAGAAAATCATGATGTCGACACTCGATAAAGACTGAATAGGCGTGACATTCGCGTGGATCAAAGATAAGAAGGAATGGAGATCCGCGATGTTGGGGTATTTGACAGAAGTGCTGGATGGGACAGAGAGGGTCTATAGTTGAGTTGCTAAGGCCGGCTCTGACACACTGCTCCGCGGGTGGTTCCTAAATCCGTCTGAAGTCGAGGCTGTGCCTGGTGCGCGCTCGATTCATGAACGGCGATCCCTACGCAACCATGTCTGGAGAAACTCTATTACAGCATCTAACCCTGTTTCCAGGCACACAATTTCATGCAGGGCGCGCTCCAATGCTAATAAGTCGAAATCAGATGATAATGGCATGTATCTGATAGATTAACAATGGACCAGGTCATGACTACGATTCCCTTGGGCAACTAATATAGAATTCATATAGGGCTGTCACTCGGGCTATCTGTGGATGTTTGTCAAAGATGGAATAAGGTTGCCTCTCACTTGGAGTGTCAGTCGGCGATTCTTCCAGCCCTTATCTGTCGGGCCCCTCCCCTCAACAATTGTTGCGATACCAACCACACTCACTTACAGAGAATTGCTGATCTGCGACCTCTCAAACAAACATACCACCACCACCACCATCACCACAGTCTTTACGGCCAAACATTTTCAGCGCCACCTCACGATGCATATCATTTCACTCATTCAAATTTTTATCACTTCCTCTTTGGTTGCCCTTGCGGCAGCTGACTGCTGCTGGGGTGACCACTGGGCCGACACAAATTGGTTGTGGCTCAAATGGGACGAAGCCGCAGGAGTTGTCCGATGCGGAATTGAGGGCAACTTGCAACCCGGAACCAAATGCAGCAGCGTAACCTACAAAGACGACAACGGCAACACCAACGGACTAGTCAACGTCACCTTCGGCAGTGACCCTCAGCCATTTAAGTTCCGCATCGGCATTCAACCAGGCAGCTGCGACCTTCTGCCAAACGAAAAGGTTATCTCTGGTTGGGAGGGTTGGGGAGCATACATGTGGGAGGGTCATGAGTTTAACGCGCAGAGGATGGAAGCCTGCACTCAGGCGAATTCTGCTTAAGACAAAATGAGATGAATCCATCTCGATACTCGTGAATGACCAACTTGGCTGGAGGTCAACCGTAGCTTGTTTAGTTGTCGTTTACGAAGCGCATACCCTCAGAATTGTTACATGTACATGTTAGACGGTCCTTGTGGACTTGAGAATCAAATGTTGGTGAATTCCGGAGTTACATCTCCGCGGACTCCAGAATCATATTTCGGTGGGTTGTAGAACTTGGGCTTGAGTCTCTTGGTGGCGATTGCAGCACAGTAAACTTTGGAAATCCAATTAATCCGTGAATCACCATCGCGCTTGGCGCGCGTCAAGCTTGGAAAGCAGTTCTTTTTTTGACACCCAAGAACCACAGAACCACAACTGCAATTACCCCTTCATCACCAGATGCCGTGCAATCCGTGGAAGAAAGTTCGCTCTAAACATCTGGAAATACGAATATCAGATATCAGATAGGCTCCTGTCATCCTAAAGTGAGGCTTGCGTGTTCGTCTACCCGCTCCCCCTCCATGCTGAGTCGAGACCCTTGGTCCGCGCATCCGATCGCGCAATTGAGTCAGGTACCCCCCGACTTCCAAGAACCTTTTTTAACTCTACCTTATTGCCATAACCACACGTGCCGCAATGCCAAATACGTCGTGCCCCGCAATAACAAGGCACCACCCTTTTCAACTCGAGACAGGGGCCTTTGCCACTCGACAAGACATCCTTGATACTATAATACGATAAACAGTAATCATAGTCAGGCTATCCGTGGCAAGTGCCGTAGTAATTAAACTCCGCCACGCTTATCAGCGCGAATAGTGGTCACACGCACGTCCTCTTGTCCTCGTGGGCTGCTTCCCAAGTCGTCGAGGTATATAGCAAACGCTCCCGTCGTCGTCCCATCTAGGTTCCAACCATCCATGATCAGCGCAACCTTCAGACAAAACACCATCACAATGTTTACCAACTCACTATGGAAGTTCATCACATTGGCATTGCTCATGATCTCAGGGTATGTGTTTCAAACCCCTTGGCACCCAAAAACACCGATCGACAGTCCTAATAAGTCACACAGAGTCCTTGCCAATGAGCACCGCAACTGCTATTGCAAAATCAACAATGTTCCCAACAACTGCCTGACACAAAAGGCATGTGAACACTACAAAGCAAACGAAAAGATCTTTGAGAAAGACAGCCCGGAATCCGTACAAGTCAAGATGATGTGGACAGTAAGTTGCTCACCGCCAGAAAAAAGACTGACTCGGCGCGGCTGCTAACCCTCACCCTCTAGATTTGCGCGACGATAGCACCGAAAGATGGAGGCCGCATGCAATTTGTCACTGGATTTGGCGGAAACGAGTTTGAGGATTCATGTAAAGCGGCCATCGCCTCAGGGCAGTGCCCGGGTTCGGATGGTGACCTGAAGTCGCAGTGCCCCGACTAAGGGAGTTGAGAGCGAGCGGTTCGGTTTGCTGTGCTTTCTCAGCCTTTCTCTGCGAATCTTTCACAGTTTTGATACCACTATGCGTCTGAGCCATTTCAGATACCCTCAATACTCTCATAATGATATCACACGGTCTCAATACAAACTTTTTTTTTATCCACACATTTGTCTTGCAGTGATGATCCGATCGTGTTCTGAGGTCATTATCCGATCGTCAGTGAGCTGGCGTTTTGGCTTGATGAATTGTTCCCCGCAATTGCCTCATGATTGAGCACATGGTCTAGACCTCACATCGCATCACGATTCACCTTGCTAGTCTGGACTCTGGAACCAGCTGAAAGCCCGCTATGACTAAGATCTATGAATACCTGGACGAAACGGGACTGTCGGCAGGAACACTCGGAAAAGCCAATCTACAGTATCATCAACCCCGTTGTGATGGATACGCAGTAAGCTCCCGCGGTGCCATAACAATGCACGCTCCGCCGGCAAAGTCGCCAAGCAACGTGAGAACGGATAAGTTCCGAGCACTTCACGTGCCTTGGCGTATTGCCTGCGTCAGGTTGAGCACCTCCAAGCGCCGCCAACGGCGCCAACGGCGCCATCCGGCGAACCAACGTCGGGATCCCCAGTGTTGTCACATCCCCGTGTTCCCCACCCTAATCGGACGGCCCGGAGGCATAGCCCTGCTTCGTGTTGTATGTTGAATATGTCAACCACAGTTGCGAGTAATTAGTCTAAATGAACAATTAACACAAACTGAATCGCACTTATGGACGTGCTTTGATACGGTCCATCGCCCTGATACGTCAGTAATTCACCCGATGATATTATCCGACGGTTCTCATCCGACTCATTACAGCCATGTGCACTCCTTGGCATGGGCTTCCCGGACGAAAGATAAGGCCGATGGCAGAGCGGCTGGAAATACCACGCAGCAACAACCCCACCGCAACTCCCCCACGGGGTATAGGACCTTTTGCGCGTGCTGGTCAGATGACCTGTGGACTCTCTCATTTGCAGATGCAATGTCATGACCCTTGCGCAGTCTACTATGTGGTATCTCTTCCACTCATGCCTGAACCCTTCTTCCTTAAAATGCTCTGACCCCAAGGAAATAAGACCGACAACGGGATACCCATGGCTTATCTAGTAGTCTATTACTAACTTTCATTTTTAGAGCAATATGCCAATTTCTGGAAACACCATCAGCTGGTCACATCCGCCGATATCCGCCCAAACGGCGAACGTCCGGCGAATGAGGCATTGGTGCTGATAGGGCACATATTGGGCAGACACACTGAAACAAGCCATTCTACGAAAAACATCAGATACAAAGCCGGGTATCGCATACAACATTACATGAGGTCCCAAGACCTGTCTCCGAGGTTTCCAAACAAAGAACCACCCCAAGCTCCTGTTCTAGACCTTTGCCCCCTTTGCCCCTTGATCCCCGACTCGGGAATACTAGTCCCTCCGTGGAACGCATGGAGCGGTTCATCTCAAGCGTCCGCCTCGATGCCCCCTGGAATACGAGCTAGACAAGCCAGCTTAGGGAAACATCATGTCAATGTTCCCAAAGTTCAAGGTCGAGATGAAACCACCATTATCCTGCCATTGTCAGCCCAGCCCATGCCCAGTAACGTGACACTTAACTTACCATGCTATCCCAATCCCACTCTCCCAACATGTCAGTCCCGACCTCGAAGTCCATGTCCAAATCGTGTATGTCAGGCGCCCCGATCCCCACCCCTTCTTCAGGGACATCATCCCCGACCAGCTCCTTTAACAAGTCATAGCACTCCGTGACTCTCTCCTCGCATGCCCTCTCAAAGTGCTTCTCGACCCGCTCGTCATCGACCCCGGCCTCGAGCACCTGCAGATGCGCCACGAGTAGCACACTCAGCGCGTGGCCCTTGATGTTGGTCTCGCCGGACTTGATCCGCGCCCTCGACCACCCAGCCACCGCGTCCAGGATCCCGCGAAACTCGGGCCCGGCAAAGGACATTGACGGCCCGTTCTTGATCTCGTCCTCCTTCTGGTGGATCAGCTCCAGCCCCACAGTCATGACGGCCTGGAACGGAACCGAGCGGTACGCCCCCGCCCCGTTGACCGTCAGCCAGAGGAAGTCCCGCTCCGAGGTGTCGGCGGGTCTCATCGCCCCGGCGCCGTCTTTTCCGGGAGTCAGGAGCGAGTTCTCGCAGAGGCGGAGGGCCGTGTCGACGGACACCTTACGGGAGAAGTAGTATATCGGGTTCCGCAGCGCGAGGGGTATGATCGGTTGGTGCAGCGCGAAGAAGAGGCGGTAGGTCATGAACTGCGCGTACCGCGACGCGAATTGTGATATTTCGGGGTGGCTTTTGAGCTGCTGCATCATCCTCTGGAGCGCGGAACTCAGCTCGCCGCTGTACCTCAACGTCTCCTCGTACACGGTGTCCGACCTGAAGTCGTTCACCCTCGCCGTGACCGCCAACCGCGCAGGCAACGTCGCGTGCAGCGCCAGCGGCACCGTCATCTGCGTGAAGGTCTTGGCGTCCTTGGGCACCGGGAACGCCGAGTCCATGTCCTCGACGAGCTGCGCGTCGTCCAGGTTCGCGGGCGGCTCGGTGTCGTAGTCGCGCGCCGAGATGAGCGGTGGTCCGCCCGCGTCGATGGCGCTCTGCAGCGCGATCTCGAGGATCGACGCCCACAACCGCCGGCGCATCTCTGCGCGGTACGGCGTCATCTTGACGAGTCCCTTGGGGTCGCGGTGCAGGCCCATGTAGATCGCCGTGCGGACGAGCGAGCCGGCCCCGATCCAAGAGAGGTCGCAGCCGATGTTGGCCGTGTGGCGGAGGTAGTGCATCAGGCAGCGGATCTGCAGCCCCGTCATGGTCATGCGAGACTTTTCGCACGGCATCATGAGCCAGAACATGCCCTCCCAGAACCACTGGATGGCGAGGTTCCTCAAGGTGAAGCGCTCGTCGTGGAAGGTTGCGCCGATGGCCATGCACAGCTGCATGAGCACGATGAAGGGCTCGTTCACGCCAGATGGGTCCTGCCAGTAGCGTTCGTACTCCGCCTTGAATGTCGGAATGTGGATAATGCGCTGGACGGATTCGAAGGTGCGGAGGTAGGCGTCGATGAGGGCATCTGCAACCTCGCGGCTGGGCATGTTTTTGCCGATGGATATGGTGGCAAAGGTAGGTGTGCGGCGGGCTTTGATTATGCGGCCTAGGTTTTTGCATTTTTCCAAGCCTTGGTAGAGGTAGGTTGTCTTTTCGTTTTCAAACTTCTTGGCGAAAGTGACTAGGCGGCAGAGCTAGATGTTGTTAGTTTAAGTTTCGAGGTTTGTGATGAGCAGAAAGGACTTGCAACGTTGTTGAAGATCTGTTGGCTCATCAGGACAGCTCAAGACACTCGTATCAACGGGAAATGATGAGACGGATGGGAAATAAATTATTTGGGTATAAGAAGAAAACACACAAAACAGAAGAGCTAAAGCAGAGATTTGGCCAAGTGAGCCAAGATGAGGAATGGGATACGTGAAGAGAAGGAGTGCTGATCAGGACAGCTCATAAGAGCTGCAGCAGCAGAAGGCAACAGTTCGGATGAAGAGAATGATGAGAAGATAGAAGAAGGATAAGAACAGAACATAAGAGGTAAGGATGAACGTTGGGGTGTCAAAAGAGCAAAGAGGGAGAATGACTGGAATGAAATGCCGGTGTAATTAGCGAAAAGACGAAAGACGTACCATATCAGCCGCATTCATCCAATGGCTCTGTCCAAAGAACCTCGTCTTGCTAACACACCCCCGGCTGTACCTCAACCCCTCCCTCATCACCGTACTCTCCACAGCCGTCGTCTCATCCCGGTCATCGCCCCTCACCATCAAATCAGACAACTGCTGCTCAAGCTGCTTCACCCTGTCCACGAGCGAGTTCACAGTCGACGACGAGCCATGGTTACTATTGCTCCCGGGCGTCGACGCCGTGTCCCTCGCACTCCCGCCGGGCACAGCAGCAACCGGAGCAGGCCGCGGCTGGATCACAGGCTGCCACAGCCCAAAATCCGCCGGGCCAGAGTGCTCCCCGGCGCTGGCGGTCAGCACGGGGATATGGATCGGCGATGGGTCGTCCGAGTCCGCGGCCCGCGTCGACGACGGGGCCGAGTGGCGCGGAGTGGGCAGGGGTTGGTACAGGATGGGCTCGGGGAGGGCCAAGGCTGCGGCGCCGGATTGGGGGAACCCGTGCTTCGGGCTTTCGTCCCGGTGTTTCCGCCCCAGGGTTGAGGTGTTGGTATTGGTCGCGGCCTGGGTTGTGTATGTGCATAGAGCGTTCTTGGAGCGCACGCAGGTGCCGCAGGGCAAGTTCCTGTCGCAGCGCACTTTGCGCCGGCGGCAGGCTTCGCAGGCCAAGGCGGGTCTGCGACGCTTCTTCTGCGCCGATGCCGAGATGGGTAGGGTAGGGGGTTCCATTATCCCGCGATGCCAAGTCGTAAAGATCTCTCCGAAGGTGGACAGTAAAAAAAAAGCTTGGTGGTGATGTGAGATGGGGGATAACAGAGAAGGGGGGCCGGCGGCGTGGGTTGCTCGGCCTTTTGTCTTTGAGCCCCGAAGGGAGAGGGCGGGATTAGAAGGATTGCTGTTGCCTGGGCGTGTGGGCCGCTGTCAATGGAGCATGAAAAACGCTTGAAGCATAGTTTTATCAGATGATCAGATAACGACGCGTCGTTGACGAGGAAAAGTCGGGCTTTAGGGTGTTGAAGATGGGTGATGCTAGTGCTTATCCCCGAGATGTCGTCGGGATTTCTGCGTCTGTGGTGTGTTCCGCCCGCCATACACCGAGCTTTGGAGGTCTCCAATTGGTCGAATGGGCGGTCCTCGAAAATGCCGAGGGCAATTTGCCGACTTACACGGTTGACCGAGAAGGATTCGCATGCCTGAGACTAGTGGATTTGTAGAGATATTCGCATTTTCTTTGTGTTAATGGGAACTTCGCAATGGCATGTCGAGATCTGTAAGGCTGGATGAATAGAAAATTGGTTTGTATATAACGGAGGCTTTCCTCACGATGAAAATGTTTTTGTTCTTGGGGTATTACAACAATCCAAATATTACGATACAAACAACACTGCTTTCAGAAAAGACAACAACATGAGCATCTCAAGTCAAACTTCAATCTCACTACCCAAGGGAGACCCTGAAAAGGCACCCGCGGCCACCGAAACTATCCCAGCCAAGTCTCAAGATGACATCGAGTTCCCCGAGGGAGGTCTGCAGGCATGGCTCGTGGCGATAGGAAATGCCTGCATCTTGTTCTGCACATCAGGCTACTCCAACACTTTTGGCGTCTTCCAAGCATACTACACCCTCCACCAGTTCTCCGACAAGTCTGCGGATGCCGTCTCCTGGATCGGATCTACGCAGGTGTTTCTGGGTTTGTTCGCGGCGATACTCGGAGGTCCGCTGTTTGACCGATATGGTGCCTGGGTAAGTTCATCCTCACGAATGAGATGGCGAAAACTAACACAGGCTAGGTCATCCGTCCCACGGCGGTGGTCTACCTCTTCGCCATCATGATGACGTCCCTCTGCACGAAATACTGGCAATTCATGCTCGCCCAGGGCATCCTCCACGGCACAGCCTCCGGCATCCTCATGTTCTCCGCCATGGCCTCAACCCCTCAATACTTCCGCAAGCGCCGCGGCGTCGCCATGGGCCTCGCTATGACCGGCTCCTCCATCGGCGCCATCATCTACCCCATCGTCCTCTCCAAACTCCTCAACGACTCGTCCCTCGGCTTCGGCTGGTCCGTCCGCATCACGGGCTTCATCATGGTCCCCGCGCTGCTCTTCGCCTCCCTCACCGTGAAAGCGCGCCTGCCCCCGCGCCGCACCAGCCTCCTCCTCCCGGCGGCCTTCAAGGACAAGCTGTACGTCACGCTCGTCGCATCCATGTTCTTCCTCTTCATCGGCATGTTCGTGCCGCTCTTCTACCTGCCGACGTACGGCATCCTACACGGCATAACGGAGGCGCTGGCGTCGTACCTCATCGCCATGATCAACGGCGCCTCCGTCTTCGGGCGCGTCATCCCGGGTATCATGGGTGACAAGGTCGGCCAGCTCAACGCGCTGCTCTTCGCGGGCGCGTCGACGGGCGTGATGATCTTCTGCTGGCCCGCGGCGACGACGCAGAGCGGGATCATCGGGTTTGCGGTGGTTTTTGGATTTTGCTCGGGGGCGATTATATCGGGTGGCGCCGTGGCGATGACGCTTTGCCCGAAGGATGTGAGAGATATGGGCACGTATATCGGGATGGGCACGGGGCTGGCGTCATTTGCGGCGCTGATGGGGCCGCCGGTGAATGGGGCTCTGTTGGATCGGTACGGGGGATTTGAGCAGGTGTCTATTTTCAGCGGTGTCATGTGTATGACTGGCGCTCTGTTGGTGTTGCTTGCGAAGGCGTTTACTCCTCAAGGGATGCTTGGAAAGGTCTAAGGTGGAGGACTTTGGTTTGGACTTATATATAGACAGAAGTGCTCTAGAGGTAATGTCTTGAAGTTACATGTAGTAAATAGGTGCTCTCATAGAATAGAAATTGTTGTGGGGTCACATGTGTTTTTTCAACTTGATATTCGCTGCTGAAAATCTTGGAATATGGTGCTGAGAATGAAGAAGTCAAGAGGCATTTCGCTGGTGTCTATCATACGTGCATGGGCATTGGACGGCTGACATCCCAAAAAGATCAAGTTAATTGCACACCGCAATGCTCATCCAAACAGCTCATCTTCCTTCAGGGTGTCGTCTTGCTCCCCCGACTGCGCATCCCACGTGCCAAATCTGTTATCACCGCGACAAGTTCATCCGATCTCTGGCCGGTTGCGGTTAGCCCACATTCCCCTCGACGCCTGGTTCGTCACAAATCTGGCACCACAGACACAAAAGCGGAACATTCCGATGGGGTTTAGCTCAAAGGTAACTGCTTGATTTCTAGGTAAATAGGAAAAGGAGACCAAATGTACAAGACAGAAACCTCTTCCGCACCCGAGATGCAGCATTAGTCAGGAGATCATTGTACACGGGAAGTAGGTTGTGGTAGGTCGTCGTTCCGTTGCCGAGGTCCCTGACACGTATGCAGGGGTATTCTCGACCGTCTTTCACTGCACCCTCCGCTTCTTCCTCCCTTTCGCAAACCACAGGTCGTATCCTGTCCTCGGCCTGAACGTCTATAATTCCCACGCCGGATACGCCTCAAAACTCATCAAGCCTCCGCCACGATCACGCAACTCAGTTTGTCGTCATCCATTTACAGAAGGAGCTCGAGGGGGTTCTCGAGGACCTTCTTGAGCTCCTTGAGGAACTCGGCGCCGACGGCACCGTCGACGACCTTGTGGTCGAAGCTGCCGGTGATGGTGATCTGGTCGTCCCACTCGACGCCGGTGCCCTCCTCGGTGATGGCGGGGACGGCGACCTTCTTGGTGGTGCCGATGGCGAGAATGGTGGCCTGGGGAGGGTTGATGACGGCGGTGAAGTTGTCGACGGCGTCGTTCATGCCCATGTTGGAGATGGAGATGGAGCCGCCCTGGTACTGCTCAGGCTTGAGCTTGCCGTCGCGGGCGAGCTTGGCGAGCTTCTTGACCTCGGTGGAGATGCCCTCCAGGCCACGGCCCTCGACAGCGGTGACGATGGGGGTGATGAGGCCGGTGGGGGTGGAGACGGCGACAGAGACGTCGACGGTGTTGTGCTGGCGGATGACATCGCCGCGCCAGCTGGAGTTGGCCTGGGGGACCTTCTTGGAAGCAACGCCGATGGCCTTGATCAGGAAGTCGTTGACGGACAGCTTGTACTTGCCGTCGGCGGTGCTGTTCAGAGCCTGGCGCAGCTTGAGGAGCTTGCTAACGGAGATGCTGCTGGAGACGTAGAAGTGAGGGTTGTTCTGGGTAGACTCCTGGAGGCGGGAGGCGATAACCTTGCGCATGCCGGAGATGGGGATGTCCTCGTAGGAGGCGACGGGGCCAGCGGCGGCGACGGGAGAGGAAGCGGCCTTCTTGACGTCCTCCTCCGTGATCTTGCCGCCCTTGCCGGAGCCCTTGACGTCCTTGATGTTGATGCCCTTCTCCTTGGCGAGGGTGATGGCGCCGAAGGAAGCGTTAGGGAAGCGGTCGAGCGCGGACTCGAGCTTGCCGGAGGGGCTGTTGTCCTCTGGGGCGGACTCGGGTTCGGGGGCAGGGGTGGGAGCGGACTTGGATTCCTCCTTGGCCTCCTCCTTGGGCGCGGGCTTAGCGGCGTCACCACCGGCGTCGGCGGCTGTGAAGCCCTCGAAAGCGGCAACGTCGGTGCCCTCATCGACGAGAATGGCAATGGGCTGTGCGGAAAGACATGGCGATCAGCTTGGTGTGCAGACATTTGGAGACAGTGGCAGCGAAAGTGGCGGCGACGAGGGCGACGGAGGACAGCAAACATGGAGCACCGTTGGGGTTGGACCTACGTTACCGACGGCGACATCCTTCTCGCCAGCGTCCTTGAGGATCTTGGCAATGACACCCTCCTCCTGGAACTCAAAGTCCATCTGGGCCTTGTCGGTCTCGATCTCGACGAGGACATCACCGGGGGCGATGCTGTCACCGGGCTTCTTCTGCCAGGCTCCGATATTTCCCGCCGTCATGGTGGGCGACAGAGCAGGCATCTTGATGACCTGGTGCGGGGGGTATGAGGCGTAACATCTCAGGATCTGGGTGCTGCGGACGAGAGTGTTGGGCAGCACGCGCCTTCTGAGGACCGTGGAGATCATTTTGGATGAAATAGCTTCCGCGGGCGCGAAAGCAGGGAGACTGGACGGAGGTGGGTTTAGATATCGAGGGGTATTCGACTCCAAAAAGACTCGTGGAGGAAACCGTCAGACGTCGGACAATTGACTTTTGCGTTCAATTGCTGGACGGGTTGAAGCAGACTCGACGGGGACTCGAGGGGGGGAGGGAAGGAAAAAGGGAAGAGGCGACGGGACGCGGGATTATTTTTGGGACGACGAGGTTTGATGCTCGAGATTGTCGGACGGGAATCTTTCCTTGGGGCTGGAGTTTTTTGCGTTGAGCTCCGTCGCTGGATGGAGCTTGAGACGCTAGGCCCGATTGGGTCTTAGCGCGTCCCTACAAAATACGCCGCAGGGAGGGCCGTTAGCTGCGACAGATTTTTTAAGGGTGCACCGAGCACCTTCACTGAGTGTTCACTGACTGACTGACAATTTTTAGTGAGTCGGGTGGTCAGTGCGCCGACATTCAAGGGACGGGACTGGACCGTTGGTCGCTAAAAGAGTCCAGCGGTTCAGTGGGCGGTAGTGGCCAGGTTTCGCCGATAATTGTGGCCTGTGGCCGGTGACCGGTGCATCGAACGACGAACTGCGAGTGAGTCCAGCCAACCGGGTCCGCAGTCGCAGTCGCCGTTGGTTGGTTGCACCCAGGCGGTGTTGTTAATGACCGAGTGACAGCGAGAAGTGACCTCCAATGACAGTGGTTGCGCTGAGGAAGTTCTCGGACTTGGGTGGGAATAAGAACGGGAAAACAAGGGACGAGCGCCTAACGCCGAAGGGCTGCAAGCCAATGAGAGGCCCGAATTGTCCACAGCGTGGGGGCTCATCAAGGTCTCCATTAATTGGCTCCCGTCGCCTTCGCTGGCCGCTTCTAAGCGCAACCGCGAGCAGCAGACGCGATGTCGGAAGACTGCCAGTTCTGCCAGTTGCTGCCACAGTGGTCTGTTGGTTGCCTTACCTAATGAAGTGGGTCATGCTTCGGAGTGGACGCTTACCTCAGCGCTTCATAAAAGCATGGACCATCAGGCCCCATGTCTACCTACCTTAGGTAGCGAGAGAGCTGACATAATGACGCAGCACGCACTGCATCCTCCCTGGCTCAGTCCGCCACGTAAACCACATGCTGCACCGGCGCGACTGGCTCCAGCTTGCAGCAGCTACATTAAAGATGGAGACTATCTACAGTAACAATTGATGTTCAATACAGTGTTTGAAGAGGGCCGATATCCCAAGCTTCTGCTGCGTACTAAGCACAGTGCAGCTCCCTCTCCGTGCGTCAGGAAATCTGGTATCTTATCCCCAGAACCAAGCTACGTACCTTGTTGGTGTCCTCTCGCTGGACAGCGGCAGCAGCAGCACCTAGCAAGCAGTATCCGTACGCCAGCAAGAGCCAGGGGTCCCTCCATTCAAAGAAATTTGGACCGTCACTGCCCCGTGCTGGCCATTTCGATTTGGATTTCGATTTGGAAGACCCCTTCGATACGGAGAGCCGCTCTCTTCATTTCACAACGACCGTCATCTAACACCCTCCGCCCGACGACGACGACGGAAGCTCCCCTTGTGCCGCCGCGACGACCTTCCCGTCCTTCACTCCTCAAGGACGCCGTCGCCTCCGAACGACACGTATCTCGCATCGCCGGGCTCTCCACGAATTACCTACCTTAATACCTACCCCCTGCCCGCCCTGCATATGCGCCTGCGCCCCTCGATGACCGGCCCAGCTCAAGCTTACCTTCGACTGCATCTGCTGGAGTAGATCAACCTCCGACTTCCTCTCCTGATCACGAACTCGTCCGCCTCGAAACGCGAATGGCACTTTGGCCTTCCATTGCTCCCCCATGAGCTCCCTCAAATTCCTCACCTCCTCCCTGGAGGCCATCGCGGCTTCCAAGGAGGCCCAGAGGAACAAGCAACTCACCGAATCCCTCCAAAAGACCCTCGCCGCCATCAAGGAGAGCGAGCCCAATTTCCCGGACCCAGAGATTGTCTTTGCTCCGTTGCAGCTGGCAACAAGGACAGGCAACGTCCAGCTCGCCACCAGTGCACTCGACTGCATCGGCAAACTCATATCATATTCCTACTTCACCGTCCCGAGCGCACCCGACGGCCAGCAAGATGCTCCAGCCGACCGAGCTCCCCTCATTGAGCGCGCCATCGATACCATCTGCGATTGTTTCCAAGGCGAGACGACCGCCGTCGAGGTCCAGCTGCAGATCGTCAAGTCGCTGTTGGCCGCCGTCCTCAATGACAAGATTGTCGTGCACGGCGCCGGTCTCCTGAAGGCCGTTCGTCAAGTATACAATGTCTTCCTGCTCTCGCGGAGCACTGCGAACCAGCAGATGGCGCAGGGCACCCTCACCCAGATGGTTGGCACCGTGTTTGAGCGCGTTAAGACCCGCTTACACATGAAGGAGGCCCGCCTCAACCTGGACAAGCTGAAGCACAGCTCGAGCAACGTCACCTTTGAGCAGACCGAATTCGCCAATGGCGCAGCCGTTGCTGGTGAGGGCGACGAAGAGAGAGAGGACTCCCCGGCCCCAGACGGTGCTGAGCAAGAGCCCGCCAGCAACGCAGAGAATGGCAATGGGAAGCTGACCCTGAAGGACCTCGAGCACCGCAAGAGCTTCGACGATTCCCACTTGGGCGACGGTCCCACCATGGTCACAGAGATCAAGCCCGGAAGGAAAGCAGCCCGATCCGTGTCCGAGCAGTCCTCTCCTGAATCGACCGTTGACGACAACGCCGACGACCTGGATGCGGAGGACGAGGTGTACATCAAAGACGCGTACCTGGTCTTCAGATCATTCTGCAATCTCTCAACCAAGGTCTTGCCGCCCGACCAGCTATACGATCCTCGCGGCCAACCGATGCGCTCAAAGCTCATTTCCCTCCACCTTATTCACACACTGCTCAATAACAACATTGCCGTCTTCACTTCTCCAATCTGTACCATTACCAACTCCAAGAGCAACGAGCCTACGACCTTTCTTCAAGCGATCAAGTTCTATTTGTGCCTCAGTATAACGCGGAACGGAGCCAGTTCTGTCGACAGAGTGTTTGACGTGTGCTGCGAGATCTTCTGGCTCATGCTAAAGTACATGCGGGAGTCTTTCAAGGTGTGTACTGCAGCAGTTGTCTCGTGGAAATGTCATGCTAATACATCGCACAGCTGGAAATTGCAGTCTTCCTCAACGAGATCTACTTGGCATTGCTGGCCAGGAGGACAGCTCCAATTACCCAGAAGGTGTACGTGGTGAACGTTTTAAACAGATTCTGCGCAGATTCACGGGCCCTGGTTGAGACATACCTGAACTACGATTGCGAGAGGAGCGTGGACAACATCTTCCAGACCATTATCGAGGACTTGTCCAAGTTCTCAACAGCTGCAGTGCCGGTGACACCCGCCCAGGAGCAACAGTATGAGGAGAAGAGCTCAAAGAACGCGAACGGAGGTGATTGGCAACTGCGGCCCATCCTGCCACCACCGCTCTCGGTTGCGCAAATCGCACCTCAAACCGAACCCGAACCTGAGATTCCCAAGGAGTATGTGATGAAGCGGGTCGCCTTGGATGCTCTCGTGGACTCGCTGAGGTCAATGGTCGACTGGTCTGCTGCGGTACGACCTGATGCGAATGGGGTCAGGCCGGATGGTGATACCAGAAACTCCGAAGATCTGCGGCCCTCAATTGACCCTAGCATGAGCGACAACCCGTCGCGCTTCGAAACACCCCTACCGTCAACACCTGTCTTGGAAGACGACCCTGCATTCCTGGAGAAGGCGAAAGCGCGGAAGACAGCCATGAACAACGCGATCAAGCAGTTCAACTTCAAGCCCAAGAGAGGAGTGAAGCTCCTTGTTCAAGATGGCTTTATCCCAAGCGACAACCCGGCGGATATTGCCAAATTCCTGCTCACCGAGGACCGCCTCGACAAGGCTCAGATCGGTGAGTTCTTGGGTGAGGGTGATCCCAAGAATATTGAGATCATGCACGCCTTCGTCGACTCCATGGACTTTACTAAGAAACGATTCGTCGACGCACTACGTACCTTTCTCCAGTCATTCCGCCTGCCAGGAGAGGCACAGAAGATTGATCGCTTCATGCTGAAGTTTGCCGAACGTTACGTGATGGGTAACCCCAACGCGTTCGCCAACGCCGACACCGCCTATGTTTTGGCGTACTCTGTGATCATGCTCAACACCGACTTGCACAGCAGCAAGATCGCTAAGCGCATGAGCAAGGAGGAGTTCATCAAGAACAACCGCGGCATCAACGACAACGCGGACTTGCCCGATGAGTACCTCCTAGGAATCTATGACGAAATCGCCAGCAATGAAATCGTGTTGAAGAGTGAGCGCGAAGCTGCTGCGGCCGCTGGAGCTGTCCCGCCACCATCTACCGGCATCGCTGCTGGTCTTGGTCAGGCGCTTTCCAACATGGGCCGCGACCTCCAGAGAGAGGCCTATCTGCAACAGTCTGAGGAGATTGCGCTCCGATCAGAGCAGCTGTTCAAGACTCTCTACAAGAACCAACGCAAGAATGCGCAACGATCGGGTGTCAAGTTCATACCCGCTACCTCTTTTCAACACATCGGGCCCATGTTTGATGTCACATGGATGTCGTACTTTTCTGCACTGTCAAGCCAGATGCAGAAGACCCAGAACCTTGAGATCAACAAGCTATGCCTGGAGGGCATGAAGTTGGCAACCAAGATTGCCTGCGTTTTTGACCTGTCGACCCCCCGGGAAGCATTCGTATCCGCATTGAAGAACACTACGAACCTCAACAACCCGCAGGAGATGTTGGCCAAGAACGTGGAGGCACTCAAAGTCATCCTGGAACTAGGCCAGACGGAGGGCAATGTGCTACGTTCGTCTTGGAAGGATGTTCTCATGTGCATTAGTCAGCTGGACCGACTGCAGCTCATCACCGGTGGTGTCGACGAGAGTGTTGTCCCTGATGTGTCCAAGGCACGCTTTATGCCGCCTCAGAGAGAGAACACCAGCGACTCTCGCTCATCGACACAATCCAAACGCCGAAGGAGCCAGCCACGACCGGGAGCTGGACCCCAAGGCTTCTCTAGCGAGATTGCATTGGAGAGTCGATCCGACGAAGTCATCAAGGCAGTTGACAGGATATTCACAAACACGGGCAACCTCAACGGAGAGGCCATCGTCCACTTCGCTCGGGCTTTGACGGAAGTCAGCTGGGATGAAATCAAGGTGTCTGGGTCGAACGACTCCCCACGTACCTACAGCCTGCAGAAGATTGTCGAGATCGCCTACTACAACATGACGCGTGTGCGTTTCGAGTGGAGCAATATCTGGGATGTTATGGGCGACCACTTCAACCGTGTTGGTTGCCACAACAACATCACCATCGTATTCTTCGCCTTGGACTCTCTCCGCCAACTCTCCATGCGTTTCATGGAACTCGAGGAGCTGGCTGGTTTCAAATTCCAAAAGGACTTTTTGAAACCATTCGAACATGTTCTAGCCAACTCCACAAACATTGCTGTCAAGGATATGGTGCTGAGATGCTTGATCCAAATGATTCAAGCCAGGGGCGATAACATCCGCTCGGGCTGGAGAACAATGTTTGGTGTGTTCACCGTGGCTGCCCGTGAGACCAACGAAAGCATTGTGAGCCTTGCCTATGAGAATGTCACACAGGTTTACAGGACCAAGTTTGGAGTGGTCATTTCACAAGGAGCCTTCACCGACTTGATCGTTTGTCTCACCGAGTTCTCAAAGAACATGAAGTTCCAAAAGAAGAGTCTCCAAGCGCTGGAGTCGCTCAAGTCCATTATACCTCGCATGCTTAAAACACCAGAATGTCCTTTGTCTCAAAAAGGACAGTCAGCAACCGGCGATATCCACACTTCAGCAGCAGACACACTGCAAAGATCCCAGAACCGCACGTCAGTGGAAGAAGGCTATTGGTTCCCAGTCCTGTTTGCCTTCCATGACGTGTTGATGACTGGCGAGGATCTCGAGGTCCGATCCAACGCCCTCGAGTACTTCTTCGACGCCTTGCTGAAATATGGAGGCGAGTTCCCACCCGATTTCTGGGACATTCTCTGGCGCCAGCAGCTGTACCCCATCTTCATGGTGCTGCGGTCCAGGCCTGACCTCAACAACGCGCTGAACCATGAGGAGCTATCTGTTTGGCTTTCCACCACCATGATCCAAGCCCTCCGAAACATGATCACGTTGTTCACACACTACTTTGAAGCGTTGGAGTACATGCTGGACCGGTTCCTGGAGTTGCTAGCTCTTTGTATTTGCCAAGAGAACGACACCATCTCCAGAATTGGCAGCAACTGCTTGCAGCAGCTCATCCTGAAGAACGTCGCGAAATTTTCGCATGAGCACTGGACGAAGATTGTTGGTGCCTTCTGCGAACTATTCGCTCGTACGACAGCTCATCAGCTCTTCTCCGCCACTACCATCAACTCAACAGCTTCAATCGATCTGCCCCCGAACGGCCTCGAGTTCGCCGGTCCTCTCAGCCCCACCGCTGATACCACCCCGGTCGACGAGGAGTCATTGAAGATTAACGGCTCTGAGAAGAACGGCGACGACGCTGACACGAACTCAGTGACAGCGCAGGTCGGCACGGTAGAAGAAGACGACCTCAAGACCCCGACAGCAGCGGCTCCACCCCAAGCCCAAGCGCCATTGGAGGAGTTCAAGCCCTCATCAAACCTTCAGCAACAGCCCGTGGTCGTTACAGCCGCCCGCCGGCGCTACTTCAATCGTATCATCTCACGATGCGTTCTTCAGCTGCTGATGATCGAGACGGTGAACGAGCTCTTCAGCAATGACACCGTCTACTCCCAGATCCCCACGGCGGAACTCCTCAAGCTCATGGGACTGCTTAAGAAGTCTTACCTGTTTGCCAGGAAGTTCAACGCCGACAAGGAGCTGCGGATGCGCCTCTGGCGCGAGGGTTTCATGAAGCAAGCCCCGAATCTGCTCAAGCAGGAGAGTGGTGCCGCCGCTACTTACGTCGCCATCCTCTTTCGCATGTATGCAGACGACAGCGACGAGCGCGCTTCGGCGCGCGATGCGATCGAGCAGGCCCTGATTCCCCTGTGCAAGAGCATCATCAAGGACTTTGTCGCGCTCGAGGAAGACAGCCAGCACCGCAATATCGTCGCCTGGCGCCCTGTCGTTGTCGACGTTCTTGAGGGGTACGCCGCCTTCCCCGTGACCTCGTTTTCTAAGAACATTAAGGAGTTCTACCCGATGGTCGTGGAGCTTCTCGGCAAGGACCTCACGTCGGACCTGCGCACCGCGCTGCTCCTGGTGCTCCGCCGCGTCGGCGAGGTCGGTTTGGGTATTGAGGGGATGACCAAGGTGGACGTGGACCGCAGGGACAGCATCCTGAGCCACGCGACGGACGTGGACGGGCCCGAGGGAGACGCGTCGGCCAGGATGAGGCGTTGAGTTGGAGGTCCAGCATACAAAAACCAGGTGTAGCACAGGAAGAGGCGTAATGGATAGATTGAGGGGGAATCATTTCATGTAAAATTATTGTACCCGGCTCGGATTGCCGAGGCCTTTCGCAGTTCGTGTCCATATTGAAGACATCCATCTATGCTTGTCCCAGACCAGTGCCATGCTTCCTAAACGCCTTGCCATGTTTTGTACGGTTACGCCCCTCAGCCGCGTGCAGACATGATGTCCCGAATAAACGTCCTCAACTGCTCCGACTCCTCAGGCACAGTCCGATCCGGCAGACTCCTCAACGCCTCCTTCAGCATCTGATCGTCCTTACTCGCCTCCCTCACCAGGTCCCGCAGGATCCCCAGTGTCCGGTGCGACTGCTCCGCCACCCTCATAACACTCACCAGCGTCTCGAAGAAGTCGATCAGGCTCAGGTGCATCAGCGTATCCTCCATATCAACCATCTTCAGCGCCGCGAGCTGCAGCAGCCCGACGTCGTTGGACCCCGTCAGCTCGGGGAACTGCGACGTGCCGACCTCGACGATGTTCAGGCTCGCGAGCCGCGGGAGGACGCGCAGGATGCGGCCCTGGGCGAGGGACAGCTGGTGCTCGGACAGCTTCACGTCTTCAGAGGGGTCTTCGCCGCGAGCGAGGGCGAGCACGAGGCCGAGGGGCTCGCGGTCGTGGAAGAGGCGGCGCCACATGCGGCCCTGGCCTGGCGCGCGGCGGCGGACGAGGTCGGTGCCTGCGAGGCTCGGGAGGGCGGCGGGCGGGGGCAGTTCGCAGTCTGTCTCGAGGAGGTCGCCGATGACGCGGGAGGCCTTCTCGCCGACCTCGACGTGCGGGGAGGAGAGCCAGCGGCGGAGGAGCTCGAGGACGACTTTGGGCATGAGGGAGAGGATGGCGGCGTCGGAGGGGGTGGCGGCGGCCTTTTCGAGGATGGCGAGGGCGAGGAGGTTGGCGGAGGGGGCGGGGGAGCGCAGGGCGGAGATGAGGGAGGATTCGTCGGCGAGCTGGAGGGTTTGGGTGAAGGGGACGGGGGAGAGGAGTTTTATTGTGAGGGAGACGATGGGGGCGGGGTCGTGGGGGGTTGTTTTGAGGATTGTTGTGAGTTTTGGGAGGAGGGTTGGAAGGAGGGGCGGGATGTTTGATTCTGTGGCGTTGTTAGTATTTCGAACAGAGGTAACAAGGGAAGGAGAGAGGTGGAATGACTGACCTGTGAGTTGGAGCTCAATGTCGTCGACGATCTTTGGTTGGAGGGGGGTTTCGGGGGAGGCGACGAGGTCGTCGAGGTGGGCTGTGAGCTCGTCGAGCCCAGTTATGGGGATTGTGTCGGTTGCCATCTTGGGGACGACGGGGTCTGACATAGAAATTTCTGGTGGCGGTGGTGCGGCTAGGTCGAGGCGAGAAGCGGAAATGAAGTTAGTGATGCCTGTAAGTTGGAGGAGCTGTTGGAGGTTTGCGGATGGCGGGGGGAGCTGGAAGCTTCCTGCTCGGTTTAAGGGTCCCCGGACGCTAAGATAAGATAAGGCAGCCGCAAGCTGCGTGTGCTGGGTGCGTAGCGCTTGGGTGCCTTACAGGGGTGGCGGTAGCGGGGCAGCGGCTTTCAGTGGGAAGGGTGACGACCCCGCTACGTGCCTACTGGTCCAGCTGTAAGTGACGGTGGCATCATGGCTTTTAACTCAAATATTCTCTTTTTTTGCTTGTCTTCTGTCAAGTAAAGATGTGCCCTAGTAATTATGGGATGAGAGGCTTCAACGGGTGTGGCATTGAACTTCCATAAGCATGCCGACTCTCGTCCAAATAAAAATCTGAATGTAGCGGCAGCTACTACACTAGATAGCTGAACTTATTCCAACTCGGAGATTTCTGCCGTCGCTCTTGGCCAGTATCCCTACTGCCTGGTTAGTTCTCATTGAAGTAATGTCGCTCCTTGACCAAGCATAATGGAGGCTTTCGCCACGTTGAGCAGGTGGTCGTTTATAATTGCAATGAGTTTACTATTCTACAAATACTATGGAATGATGAAACTCTGGTAGTATTATCAAAGATGCAATGTGTTTTCCGGCATCATTCTTTCTTGATAGCTGCTTACACAGATTGTTGTCTTCGGTGAACAGACACGGGGAAGCCACACCAGCCACCTCAGCCAATCACAAGCCACCATTACCCCAATTGACCCCGCTAAAAAATCAAGACGTCCAACTCCAGGTCGGCGCCAACCATGACTGCATCTCCGACTTTGACTCCTTTTCGTTCGACTCATAGAACAACCTTGCTGCACTACGCCAAACGACTCTTGACAACTCGTTGCAAATTCCGATCTAGTCACACCACTTTCCTGCGATAAGAGAGACATAAACGGTACGTTAATCTCATAACTGAACCGGCCGGGCCCAACCGTCAACCGCGGCACGCGAGCGAAGCGAGGCCAAACCGCCAACCACCCTGCTGCAATCCAAGCAGACAACCTCTACACCATACAATCGCTAACAACCACCCACACAGAACCCTCAAGAAAGCACACATAAGAAACGAGCGAGGACCATGTCGCGCGGAGGACGAGGCGGAGGACGGGGTGGCCGCGGCGGCAAGACGGGCCCCCAGCTGTCCTGGGACAACGGCGAACACGCACCCGACACCCGCCCCTCAGAGCTCTTTCCCGTACGTCCCCTCCTCCCTCTCCCGTAGCTCCAACCCAATCTAACATTCCCGGTACAGCAATACGCCGTCCCGACAGCGAAGCCCCTCTCCGCCCTCGAACAAGCCAACGTAAACGCCTTCCTCCTCTTCCGCCGCCAGGTCCAGGACGGACCGCTATACACCCGCAAGCGCACCTGGGGCATGGACCCGTCCAACACGCGCAAGCTCTACGGGCAGGACCAGGTGAACGCAAAGTACGGCGTGCGCACGCGCGCCACCGCGGACCCCTTCACGGGCGTGCCGACGTACTCGCAAAAGTTCGCCCGCCCGGAGCGCGCGCTGCCCGAGTTCGGCTCGCGGCCGTTCTGCAAGGAGTTCTTCCCCGCGGAGCTGCACGCGACGCTCGACGGCGACGACGTCGCCCCCGGCGAGAAGCGCCGCGGCGGCGAGGCGAAGCGGTTGCGGCTGTCGCGCATCACGGCGCTGCCGACGGCCGAGGACGTGTTCCAGGTCGAGGAACCCGCGGCAGGGCCTGACGGGGCGAAGAAGACGCTCGAGGCGCTGGAGAGGATGCCGGATGCCGAGGGCGCAGAGGGCGAGGAGGAGTGGGAGGAGGGCGGCGAGGAGGAGGAGCAGGATGTGGAGTACGACGACGAGGATGCGGGTGACTACGACGCGGAGAATTACTTTGACGACGGGGAGTTTGGGGACGACGATGGTGGGGATGACGACCACGGCGGCCGCGAGGGGTCGTATTGATCGTGGCGAGAAAGCGACGGCGTCATTTTTTGAAGGAACGGAGGGGGTAGCGAAGGCGGAAGGATCTGCAGAGACTTTGCCTACCTCACGAGGAATGAGGATTAGCATATCAGGCGTTGGGCGGATGAACGGCTTTGCTGAGCGGAACAGCTCCCAGATACCCATCATATACAACAGACACACGAGCATTGAATTTCACACATCGAGACTGGACAGATTGGTGAGTCAGGGGTATCTGACATTGGGTATCAACGACCTGTGCCGCCGTGCTCTATGTACTTTACAACGCGACTCCCCACGCCTGTGACGAAGCGCTCTTCTGGCGCCATAGCCGCGACATTGCGTATTTCGAGGCTCCAATCTTGACGGCGTTCTGGGCGAGGAAATGCCACCGCAACTTGAATGCCGCGTGAGCCGACGTCAGCGGTAGCTCGGAGCCGGATTTTGTGCACGAAGCTCGCTCGATTCTGCTATGTTGCCGGTGTATACTTTTTAGCCATCCTGAACGCCAAATGCTTCCCGCAACCCTTGTGCCAAGCGTCACGTCCCCGGAGCCAAGCCTCATCATTACTTTAGTCCAACATTCACAAATCTCCTCACTTGGTGGGGTACTGGCGCTGAAGCTGGGTCAGCTTCTCGCGTACATCCACAATGCCACCCGCCGCCTCGTAAATCTTGTCACCCATCATCTTGATCGTCTCCAAAAGGTCGAGGACCATGCTGAACGCGGGAACCTGCGTCTGGTCGCGCAGGGCGCGCACCCGCTCGTAGAGGCCGTGCTCGACACCTGGCATGTGCTGCTCCATCTCCTTGATCTTCTGCACCTGAAACTGATGCAGCTCCTTCAGCCTGTCGGCCTCGTTCGAGAAGAGGGTGAGTACATCCTCCAGATTGCGGTCCTGGTTGCCGTTCGGCGCGTTACTGCCGGTTCCACCGCGGGTGAGCCACGTCTGGTGGTAGTGTGCAGGGAGCTTAAGCTGATCGGCGCCAGCAAATGCCATCTTTGCGATGTCCGCATCCGACTTGACAAGATCCTTCAGGTGTGCCAGGGTGACAATATCCTCGTCCAGGGTCGTCTTGACGCCCTCGTACTTGCGCTGCAGCCAGGTGACGTCGTTGGTGAGCTGAGCAAGATCGCCGCCATGGGCCGCCATGAAACCCCTGATCTCGGACGCGTGGTTCATGAAGCGCTGGATCATGGTGTCGCAGTTCTCCATCTCGGTCTGCAGGGACTGCTCGAGGTCGTTGAAGCGGGTCGTGCCCTTGACGTTCGAAAGGTCCACCCTTACACCGGGAACGGTTTGCTGCGTCGTCGACTGACCCATAGTCAGGCCGGGAGCTGTGTTGTTCTGTTGCTGGGTAGAAGCGCCGCCGCCACTTTGAGATGTTAGCAGGAGCCACGGAGAGATTGACAAAATCACTCACAAAAGACCACCAGGCTTGGCTTGGCTGGGGGCAAGACTCGAGCCGAAGAGGCCGCCGCCACCTTGTTGCGGTGTCTGCTGCGCTTGTGTGTTTGTGTTTCCGCCACCGAATAGTCCCGACGGTTGCTGCTGAGTCGTTGCTAGCGACTGGCCAAAGAGGCCACCTGCCGCTGGCTTCTGCTGGGCCGCTCCGAACAGTCCTCCGCTCTGTTGAGGTTGCTGCTGGCCCGTCTGCTGCGCCGGTGTCTGGTTTCCAAACAGTCCTCCCCCCGTGGTGCCTGTCTGGGCTGTGGTGTTCGCCGCCTGGCCGAAAAGCCCTCCCGCTTGCTGGGGCTGGGCCTGAGGTGTTGATGTTGTCGCTCCGCCGAAGAGACCACCGGCCTGTTGCTGGGGCTGAGAAGCTGTGGTAGATGCACCAAACAGGCCGCCAGTCGCGGGTGTTGATGGCTTATTACCGAACAGTCCTCCACTTGCAGCTCCAGTCTGGGTTCCGCCAAAGAGACCGCCGCTCGTAGCAGGTTGTGCCGTGGCCGCTGCGTTTCCAAAGAGTCCTCCACCAGCTGCGGGAGTCGACGAAGGGCCGGCGCTGTATTGATACAGTGTTAGCAAGATGTCGAGGCACAGCCCAAGGGCAAGACTCGGGTTTGGCAATGCAGTGACCTGAAAGAGGGCAAAACATACGCAGCATTGGCAGCACCAGTGTTGATGCTCAAGCCACCGCCAGTTTTCGCACCGAACAGCGACATGTTGGCGGTCGAGTTCTCTGGTGCAGTAGGGCCAGTGGTATTATCGTTTGCGATCGAGATGAAAGGCGAGGCCGAGGTCGTGTTCGAGGTGAAAGCCGGGGTAGGGTGAGGCTGATGGCCGTGGACTTGAGCTCCTGGATTGTTTGTTGCTGCTTCTTGGCCGGGCTGCTGTTGCTGCTGCTGCTGTCGCTGCGCGGTCAACGCGAAAGAATTGGCGGCAGGGACTTGAGGGCACGGGCCACCCGCAGCTTTCTGAGCTGCTGCTGCCTTTGCCAGCGTGGATTGCGATCGCCTGGGATTGGCTATTCGGCGTTCTGAGATGCCGCCTCCGGGGTTCCACACCGAAGCCGCCAGACCGGGGCGCTGATTGGGCAATGCTGACTGCACCTGCTGCTGCTGCTGCTGCTGCTGCTGTTGATGGCCCGTGCCTTCCATCTGGATGTCCTGGGAAGCTGCTGCCGCTGCTGTTGCTCCTGCTGCGAAAGGCGTCGTTGTGAAGCCTCGACCAAAAACACCACCACCACCACCACTGCTTCCACCACCAGTTCCAAACGTAGAGCCGTTCATCGAAGTCGCAAAATGGATATCGACGAGGATGATGATTTTTACGCGCCCGAGGAGCCGACTGTTCCTGCGCCTGCGCCTGCGACCGAAAATGCTGCTGCACCCAAGGCGCCGTCGCCAAAAGTAGAGTCCAAGAATGACGAGTTGGAGGAGGGTGAGGAAGAGGATGAGGGCGGAGCCATGGACGAAGACGATGATGAAGACTCC